CAGGCACTTTACCACTTGAGCCATGCCTGTAGCCTGGGTTTTTGTTTGTTTGTTTGTTTTGTTTTTTAAGCAGAAAAGCAATGATTAATGGAGAAATATTGGAGTAATGAATATTAAAGATGTGTTAGACTTATTAACTATTGCAATACAGACCCAAGAAATAAATAATAAAGAATTGAAGAGGAATATTCTAGATTCTCTTCTAGCATGTCTTACAGAATTAGTTCAGTATTTTTGGGTTTCTAATCAAAAGAATTGCTGAGAATATTCCAGAAGGTGATCTTAGAAGAAAGATGAAGACGAAAAAGAGGAGGAAGAAGAGGAAGGAAAAGGAGGAAGAGGAGAACAGATATGAGGAAGAGAACAGAGAGGGACGGTGTAGTGTTTTAAGGCATGTTCACAAATTCTTTAACACGTTGTCCAAGAGGTGGAGTGTGAGTCCCTCCTTTTGAGTGTGTACTGGACTTAGTGACTCATTTCCTTTTTTTTTTTTTCAGTACTGGGGCTTGAACTCAGGACCTACTCCACCAGCCCTGTTTTTTGTGAAGGGTTTTTCGAGATAGGATCTCATGAACAATTTGCCTGGTTTGGCTTTGAACCTTGATCCTCCTGATCTCTGCCTCCTGAGTTGCTAGGATTACAGGGATGAGCCACCAGCATCTGGGAGTGACTCATTTCTAATGAATAGAATAAATCAAAGTGATGATATGTGACCTATGAGCCCGAGATATAAAGGATACTGTGGCTTTTGCTTGCTTTTTTTGGTTCACTTTCTCTGACAGAAGACCTCTGCCATGTGAGGAGAACATTCAAAAAAGCCTGTGGAGAGATTTACTTAGTGAGGAACTAACCTGCTACACACAGCCATCTTGGAGGAGTGAAGTCAGTCATCCTGGAGGTGGATCCTGTGGTTCCAGGCAAAACTTCTCATAACTGCTGCCCCAGGCAGAAAATGGACTGAAACCTCATCAGATCCAGAACCAGAACCACCCAGACAAGCCACTCCTGAATTCCTGATTCACAGGAACTGAGAGATAATAAATGCTTACTATTTTTAAGTCACTAAATTTTGGAGTAATTTGTTTTGCAGCCATATAACTAACACAGAAGGCAAAATAAAGACATTTTCAGGCAGACAAAAGGAAAGAGAATTCAGTACCAACAGACCTGTATTAAAGGAAACTCTCATACAAAAATTTCAGTTATAAGGAAAATGAAACCACAAGGAAGGTAAGAGATAGATAAGAAATGAAGAACAAAGAAAGTGGTACATATGTGTATAAGTCTAATGTATCACTGGGTTTTTAAAAATATGCTACAATAGCAGGGTGTGGAGGTGTGTGCCTGTAATCCCCCAGAGGCTGAAGTGGGAGGATCAGGAGCTCAAGGGCAGTCCAGGCTACATATCAAAACCCTGTCTCAACCAAACCAAACCAAACAATACCACAATAATAATAAGGCCTAAAGAGAGAGCTATACCATACCATGTTCATAGATTGGAAGATTCAATAGTAATAGGATGTTAGTTCTTCAAGCCAGGCACCGGTGGCCTGTAATCCTAGTGACTCAGGAGGCAGAGATCAGGAGAATCTCAGTTCAAAGCCAGCCCGGGCAAATAGTACACAAGACCCTATCTCGAAAAAACCCATCAAAAAAAGGGCTAGTTGAATGTCTCAAGGTGTAAGTCCTAAGTTCAAGCCCCAGTACTGCAAAAGAAAAAAATTATTATTTCTCCATATTGATCTATAAATTCAATACAATTCCAGTTAAAATACCTGCAGCCTGTTGTTCTAGAAATTATCAAAGAGATGCTAAAATTTATATTAAAAATCAATAGATTAGCTGACATGGTGGTTGCATGCCTATAACTCCAACTACTCAGGAGGCAGAGGCAGGAAGATCATTAGTTCTAGGCCAGCCTGGTCTACACTGAGAGTTCCAGGCTAACCTGGGGTACATAGTGTAGCCCTGTCTCAAAATTTAAAAAAGGAGGGGCAACCTGGGGATGTAGCTTACTGGTAGAATATGCTTGCCTAGCACATGTGAAGCCCTGGGTTCAATCCCAGGGGAAAAAAAAAGCCAATAGACTAAAAAAGCCAAAACAATTTTATGAAAGAACATAATTTCAAGTACTCAATTTTAAGACTTAACCATAATGCTTCAGCAAGTTCAGCAAACTATGACCAATGGGCCAAAGCTAACCTGTAATCTAGTTTTTTCAGGTTTATAACCTAAGAATAGTTTTTTTTTGTTTTTACATGGTTGAAGAAGGAAAAAGAAAAATGAGGTGGGAAAAACTGGCTTTGTCTGTGTTAGTAAGTACTTCACTCTCAGAAAGTCTGAATCCTCAGTTAGAAACAATAAACTGGTCTGTAATTGGACTTGCCAGAGTCCTGTGAAATGTGAATAGCAAAATTTTTAAGCTACTTCACTTTTGAAGGTATAATGTTAACAGTTTCACCTTATAAAAAATACCTACCTGTGTGCTTTTGTGTTCCAGTCACTGCATGCTTGTCATCTGAACATACTTGGACATATGTCCCATCATTGTCAAAGCTAGTGCTAAATTTTGTACTTGTTCATGACCCTTAGCTAACAGGGTTAGTTGTTCACAGAGACTGGGTACCTATTTCTGGGATAACCTCTGCACTACACAATCAGGTCACCAAGAAATTGGCTCACAAACCCCTCAACAATATTGAGTGTTTTTCTTTTTCATTGTTTTTTTTTTTTTTTTGGGGGGGTGGTGGTACTGAGGTTTGAACTCAGGACCTCACACTTGCTAGGCAGGCACTCTACCACTTGAGCCACTTCACCAGCCCAAATGTTTTTCTTAATTTTAAGACATGAGAGTCTTGTTATGATACTAAGGATGGTCCCAAAACCTGGGCTCAACTGATCCTCCTACTCAAAGGACAAAGTACCTGGGACTACAGGAACCCACTACTGTGCCTGGCCCACTGAATGTTTTTCAAAGTTTGGTCAGCTGAAGGTAGAATCAGAATTAGCTTTTGCTTTGACTCTGAGTATCCAGTGGTGGGCCTGGGAATCTGCCAGTTTAATAAGGCTGTCAGGACATAACGAGCTGCATGTTGGGAACTCCAGCTCTGAGGAGCTTTTCCTGATTGCTGAGGAGAAGCTGCCTGTCTGGTTTCACAGACATTGTTCACACTGTCCTTTGCCCAATTGTGAGTAGTATGCCCTCTTGTTGTGAATGTGATGGGATGTAACTGAGCCTGGTGCTGCTCTGTATTTCCACACTGGATTGGGTTTCTGCCTGCTGGGGTCCTGACACCCCAACAGAAGCTGCAGAAGGGAGAAGGAGGTAGGAGGATCTCCAGTTGGAGGCTAGCCTAGGCTGCACAGCAAAAATCGTCTCAAAAAAAGAAAAAGGAGAAGTAGGAGGAGGAAGAGGAGGAGGGGAAGATGAAGAGAAGGTGGAGAAGCTGCAGAAGTAGCAGACAGCATTGCATGTGATCAGCTTTCAGCCTGGACCTCACTCACCGTGTAGGATCTGCACTGGCACCCTAGATCCTGGCTTCTAGGTTCACCTCTGTATCCTAACTCCACATTTGATGGGGAACCATGGAAATGCCTATTAGATCAATCATCTCTCAGGGCTGGTGGGGACTTAGGGATTTCCAGTTACTGAAGTTGAATGCTTCCAGGATAGGGAATTCACCTCTTACAGGGAAGCTCCTCTGACTCTCAGCAGGTCTCTTTCCTCACCCAATGATAGCTGAGTTAAACCAGCTAAATAGATATCCTTAAGCCCACTGTCCCTCTCCCCTGGACCACATGTACTCTGGCAGGAGTCAACATCTTTTTTTTTTTTGGCACTGGGGCTTAAACTCAGGGCCTTGTACTTGTTAGGCAGGCACTCTACCATCTGAGCCACTTCACCATCTGAGCCACTTCACCGGTCCTTTTTTGTATTGGGTGTTTTTGAGATAGGGGCTTGTGAAATTGCTGGGGCTGGCTTTGAACCCAGTCCTCCTGATCTTTGCTTCCTGAGTAGTTAGGATTACAGACATGAGCCACCAGTGCCCGGCTTCCTTCCAACATCGTTTGGAAACACAGGTGCTGTTGCTCTGGTGAATATCCTTCAGCCGTTCCTTATTTCTTTTTCAATGTAGAGTACAGTCTCCCCAGTGGCTTACTGGCCTTGCTGACACAACAACTACAGCTTCATCTCCTCCACTGTTATCACCCCGCCCCCACCTCCTGTGCAGGATCTGGCAATTGGTCTTCCATTCTCTTCACTCTGTTGCCACGGCCTTACTCCCCTTTACTAAGTTAACTCCTGCTCGTTCTTCAGCTTCCCAGAATCACTTCTCGGATCCCAAGACTGGAGCAGGTCCCTTGCTTATTCATGCTTGTAGCACTCCCGGTTTCTCCTTATTACTTGTCAACGTTGAACATTTCCATTTACTTGAGCAATTATTTCTCAAATGTCTGCCTCCCCTACAAGATGGTAAAATTCATTAGGGCAGGACTTGAATCCCCAACACCTAAAAGTGCCTGGCAGGTAACTCATTGGATGGACTCACTGCAGGTGGCAGGTCCCCACCTGGGCGGGTGTCGAGACCCTCCAGGCAGCTACCCGTACGGGTTCCCAGAAGTGGGGACATCCCTCTGCAGCCCAGGCCTCTGATGCGCTCACGATAGGGCGTTGCCTGGGGAACCCCCAGGGAGAAAAGGAACCCAGCATAGCTCTAGCTCGTGTTCAGCTGCAGACTGGGTGGGAGCTCCCCGATTCTGTGCTTGTGGGTCTCAGTTTCCCCAGTGTTCACCGCAGCGTTGACTCTGAACCGCGCTTGCAGCCCTTGGTTAGACCCACGCCAGGCGCGGCCGGCTGCGGAGGTCCGAGGGGCGAGCTGAGCCCACTTAGGCCTCCGTGCCAGGAGAGGGCGCTCTACGTCGGTCCTCCCGAGCAGTCGCTCTCCAGTGGGGTCCCTCTAGCCGCCCCGCAGTGGCGCGGTGCACGTCGGGAAGGCGGCGGGAGCCATGGTAGGTGGTGAGACAGCCGCTGCAGTGGAGGAGCTGGTCTCCGGGGTGCGGCAGGCGGCCGACTTCGCCGAGCAGTTCCGCTCCTACTCCGAGAGCGAGAAGCAATGGAAGGCCCGTATGGAATTCATTCTGCGCCATCTACCCGACTACCGCGACCCGCCCGACGGCGGCGGCCGCCTGGATCAGCTCCTGTCTCTCTCCATGGTCTGGGCCAACCACCTCTTCCTGGGCTGCAGGTGCGGACCTCTGGCGGCCGGCTTACCCTGTCCCTGCCTGCCGGCCCTCCGCCCTCTCCCAGGGGTCACCCTGACCGGAATCCCGGCCCCAGACTGAACCCGCCCCCAACCTCGGACCGCATTGGCTTGTCCCCCACCTTGGCAACCCCGTGGAAAAATGCTTAACTTCTCTGAACTGTTTCCTCATTGGGTAAATGGGTGGTTGTGATGACTACAATCATTAGACAGTGAAGGAAGCAAGTCCTGGTGGGCTGCAAAGTTGCGTATTGAAATTGAGATTGTCATTTGTGTTACTATTAATAGGCAAGCCGTCGCCTTTGCAGAGTGCATTTGAAGTCCATTAGCTCCTTCACCCACGTGGCAGAAGTACAGAGACAGAAACTGAGGCGCCTGTTTCGTAACCCTCCCTCCCCCCATTAAATGAAGAAGCTGAGGGAGAGGAAATTACATACCTAGGGCCAGTGCAGCTTTTTGCGGACTGCAATCTGTCACCCTTTGCTTTTTCTCCCTGGTCTTCACCTGCCTGGTTCAGAGCAGGAGCCAGCGTCACCACTCTGGCTTCACTCTTAGGAAAGTAACATGCCTTCTTGTCAAGGCCCCAAAGCCCACAGCATCCTGGCTATTGCACCCAAGAGGGCACATGGCCCTTCCAGCTTAAACCAGGTCTTTTGTTTTTGCTTTTGGTGCTGGAAATGAAACTCAGGGCCTTGCATATTCTAAACTTATGCATTACTACTCAGCTACACCCCCAGCTCCAAAGCCACTTGGTTTTGTTTCTGATTAGGATATTTATCAGATATCCTAATATCTGATAATAGGATATTAGGACATGAGAAAGCTATGCCAGGTGCACCCATCCTAGCTAGACACCTATCCCTTTCTGCTTCTAGGTGTCCCTGGGAAATCCTGGATAACAGAACCCAGGGTTTGAGTAGAGAATTGAGCAAATGATACTATTTTCATCAAACCAACATTCTACGTATTTTTAAAGTAATCCGTATTCGTGGCCCTCATACTGTATTCAGGAATATGTCCTGCCAGATGTATGGTGCCTCTGTTTTTGTAAATCTTGAAACATCTGCTCTATTGGCATTCCTGAAGCCCACTGCTGTACCCACAAGCAGGAAGAATTATGTCCTAACCTTGTGCTGAACAAATACAGGTCTTCCCTACAGCATTAAATCAGTCCTTTAAAGAAACCCATACTGTGGCATGTGCCTGTAGTCCCAACTACTGGGGAGGAGGCAGGATTGCTTGATCCCAGGAGTTCTGGGCAACAGAACTAGACCTCATCTCTCTCTCTCTCTCTCTCTCTCTCTCTCTCTCTCTCTCTCTTTTCTTTATTATTATCATATTTTTGTTGTACTGGGGGTACATTGTGACATAATTCACCCCCTCTATCATTCTTCTTAGAATAGTGTCAACAGTTTTCATTTTTCTGTTTAGACTTCATCTCTTTAAAAAAGTATTCTGCCCTCTGTAAGTTGAGTTTGCAGTCCAGTAAATTGCAATTTCTTTTTAATTCACAGTACCTAGTAATTCTTCCCAGGTTCTTACTTCTTTTTGTTGTGCAGTTACAATAAAGACCTTCTAGACAAGGTGATGGAAATGGCTGATGGGATAGAAGTGGAAGACCTGCCACAGTTTACAACCAGAAGTGAATTAATGAAAAAGGTAAACAGGATAGTGTGTTTGATGAGATGGTACAGAGTTCCTGGTCCCTGCTTTGATGACTTGTATTATTAAATTGGTTTTTGAATGCTCTTGTTTACTGTTCCACAGATCTAAGCCCTTTCATTTTTATTTCCCCACAACTGGTGTAAACTTTTTCATAACTAGAGCATACTTGGTATGAGAAATTGTTGGAGTATGATAAGTTGGTGAAGTAACACATAAAGTCAGTCTTTTTATTTTGTCTAGGAACACTGTTTTTTCTTGTGGTGCTAGGAATTGAACACAGGGCCTTGTTCATGCTAGGCAAGTGCTCTATTTCTGAGCTACATCACCAGTCCCAGGGCACTCCATTTTGTTTCTTTTGCTTGATTATAAAGAAAAAGAAAGTTACCTATTTGCTAAAAAGTCTTTTTGAGGGCTAGAGATGAGGCTCAAATAGTAGTAGACCTGTCTAGCAAGTGCAAAACCCTGAGTTCTAACTCCAGTACTACCAAAAAAAAAAAAAACCCCAAAAACCCCCCAAAACAGCTTGTTGGTAACAAAGAACCTGATTTCTGACCCAGCAGGGGAAGGCCAGAACAGACTTGTTTGGCTTCTGACTTGATGATAAAGTGCTTCACAGGAGTAGTGTCCCAATATAGCTGCTCTCCAGTCTTTAGGGCTTCGTCTGATCTGGGATGGTGGACTTAATACGCTCTGAGCTCTTGCCTAGAGTTGGAATCTGGACCATAGAGCTAGGGCCATGGAGAGTGACAGGAAGAACCCTAGAGGGTGAGGCTGGGTATTCCAGCTACTTTCCAGAATCACCCCTAGACATGTGTTTTTCACATTTGTCCTGGTCTCAGGCAGCAGGATTATTTCCTTGTCTGCTAAAGTTCCTTTGGCATTTATTTACCCCAGCCTCTTTTAGAGCAGACTGTGACCTTGATGGTGCCTAATGGTTTAGTCCTTATAACTGCAAAACCTAGTATAGGCATACCCCTCAGAAGGTACTCAGAATATTCACAATTGACCAAAACAATAAAGAACTTTTTAATTCTACCCTCAGAAACATAGGTAGGCCCTTGTTTCACCCCATTTGGGCTTTTGGGAGGCAGGGCACTTAAAGAGTTCCCCCTTTGATTAGTTTAAGAAATAATCAATCCTTAGCTGCCTAGAAAGCAGTTAAGTCCCGAACTTGATTTCAAATGTTTTTTCTTTAAAAAAGAAAAGAAAAAGGAAAAAAAGGCTTTCTTTTTGTGAACTCAGGGCTTCATGCTTGCAAAGCAGGTGCTCTGCAGCTTGAGCCACACCTCCAGTTCCTTTTGCTCTGGTTCTTTAAGAGATAGGGTCTTGTGAACTATTTGCCCAGGGTGGGGTGGTCTTGAACTGTGATCCTCCCCTTGCAGCCTCCCAAGTAGCTAGGATTATAGGTGTGAGCCACTGCCACCCAGCATGTTTTGTTTTTAAAGTCAGCTACTAATAGGGAGCTATGTTTTTAGCTATTAAACCATGTAAATTGGGAGTTTGTGGCTTTTTGGATCCCCTTATGTAGTAGTTTAAAAAATCTCTTGGGCATTCTTTCTTGGGTGTCCCAGCATGGTAAAGTTCTTGGAGCTCAGCCAGGAAGGAGTTAGCTGCCAGAGTTGTACCCCTGCGGCAGAAGTAGGCAGGGAATGGAGACCAGCCTTCATCTCCTAAGTGCTTGTGGCAGTCCGTCCTTGCTTTTTGTTCCTAAGAGGTTTTGTGCTCTCCCACAGATGTGTTTTTCTTTTATCATTTCTCCATTATAGCTCTCTGTCATATATGTTTTCTGGAAAGGAGCTGTCTTCTTCCCAGTCATGCTAGGTTGTTAGATGTTAGAACACTTTATAACTTGGGCTGCAGATCCTGGGAAGAGACTAAAGAGGTTTGGTATGTTCCAGACATTACCGTTAGACCAGTGTGAAGAACTATGTGCATGTTGGGAAGAATCTGTGTGAACTGTTAAACATGACAAAGGGATCGTGCACCTTGCAAATGTACAGAGTCCGTGCTTGGAATGTTTTTCTTGTCACTGTCATTGCCTAGTGTGAACCTCCAGAGAAAAATCCTGTCGTGAAGTTAGCATTGCTGAGAGTAGTGCTGCCATCACACTAATCATTAGCAGTTAGCTGCAGGAAGGTCATAATCCTTTTGCTTTTTTTGGATTGCATGTGTTACAACTTCTTCAAATAGAACTAATATTTTCTTAGTAACCAAGTTTAATTGCAGACTACTGATGACACTGAAAATGAAATTCAGTTGCTCCTGAAATTGAGATATTTAAAGGGTGCATTGAGTTTTGTCAGTTAAAACTCTTCTAGTGGTGGAGAGCTTTCCTAGCATTCACAAGATCCCACTTTGGGTCCCCACCATCACCAACAAAACAAGTCCATCCTGAGAACAAATCTTCTGTGTCTTGACTGATTGGTGTTGTACTGAGGGTTATCCTCTCCATTGAGAACCCACTGGTAAGGGAGGCACAGGGTCTTCACAGCACTTTTATCCTTTGCCTGCAGTTTTCTCATATAATAGAAAGAAGCTGGCAAACATCAGGTAACATTGCCAGCCCAGAGACAGAGCAGCCCTGATGTCAAACCACACCTGAAATGTCTGTTGTTGAGCTGCCCAGAATTGATCCTCAGCTCTAAAATTAGAGTTTAGTCGGGCTTTAAATCTAGCTAGCAAGTAGAAATGAATCACCTGGCATTTTTGGTATCTCAAAACCAGACAGTAATGACTTAGTGAGCTCTCTAAAGTAAGGTATTAAAAATATTTTGTGGCTATTCTGCATCTTTGGGGCAAGTACATCTTTGTGTGGTTTGTCCAACTTTTTTTTTTTTTTAATCTGAAGAGAAATGAGCATTGCCTTGGTGGGATTTGTTGAACAGTTGCAGTGTATGATTTTTCTTTTGAAAAAAGGGGATTCAAACACAAATATATTTAGCAATCTTACAATTTTTTTTTTGTGGTACTGGGGATCAAACCCAGGACTTTGTACATGCTAAACAAGCACTCTATTGCTAAGTCACATCCCCAGCACTGAACAAACAATTTTGATTACCAGACCCCACCCTGAGGCACCTGCTTGCAGCCTGTGTTTTCTGTGGTGCCCAGCTTACCCATTAATGGGCAATAATTAACATAGCAGCAGCTGACTCAGGAAGTGTCATTGCCATGACTGTCAGAGTTAATATTTCCTAAGTGACGTCTTAATCAAAGAGAAAGAAGTGATTGACTAGAAAACTCTCATTCTTGGCTCAAAGAAAGAAGTATCAACCTCATTATTTAGTACATTTTTCCTGATGACACTTTATCCCAGGTTGAAAAATGGCAGTGTGAGAAGTGACAACAGATGAAACGTAAAAGTTATTTTTTAAGTATTTTTTGTGGGGGTGGGGTTTTGATATTGGGAGTAGAATTCATGGCTTCATGCTTGCTAAGCAGATGATCTACCACTTGAGCCACTCTACCAGCCTGAAATGTGAAAGTTACAAAAACAAGTGAGCCTGCATTTCAAGAGGTTCTCTTTGCCAGGTGCTGGTGGCTCATGCCTGTAATCCTAGCTACTTGGGAGTCAGAGATCAGGAGGATCGTGGTTTGAAGCAGCCTGGGCAAATACTTTGTGAAACGCTATCTTGAAAATACCCAACCCAAAAAAGGGTTGGTGGAGTTGCTCAAATGGCAGAGCGCCTGACTAGCAAGCTTGAGGCCATGAGTTCAAACTCCAGCACTGCCAAAAAAAAAAGAAAAAAGGTCTTCTTCCATGCGTTATGCCCAGTGTTGGCAAGCTTTGAGTCATACCTTGGTGAAAGCAGGTATGTTGTAAAGTGGTAAGTATGGGTGAGTATTTAGAAAAAAAAAATTCAGCCTGGTGTCGGTGGCTCCTGCCTATAATCCTAAGTACCACAGAGGCTGAGATAGGAGGATCACAGTTCGAGGCCAGGCTGAGCAAAAAGTTAGGGAGACTCCCATCTCAACCAATAAGTGGGCATGGTGGCATGCATCTGTCATCCCAGCCATGGCAGGAAGTATAACATGAGGAACATGTCCTAGGCTACCTGGGCAAAAAGTAAGATCCTCTCTCAAAAATAACCAGAGCAAAAAGGACTGGAGGTGTGGCTCAAGCAGTAGAGTGCCTGCCTCAAAAAGGCAAGGCCCTGAGTTCAAACCCTAGTACTGTCAAAAGAAAAAAAAAAATTCAAGCTTTCAGACGCATTAAATTAGAGGAGGTCTTACATCTCAGGATAAATGTTCAATTGAGCTACGTATCTTTTTGTTTTGCTTTACTAGAAATAGAAGCTAGTAAAGCTTTCTAGAAAAGCTGTGTCAGACTCCAGGGACCAGTCTTATCTGATGCTCAGGATGGGTGGATCACCTGCCAACACCTTGTGGGACTGTATTTGCAGCATCCCAAACCAGTGGCAGCTGTTATGCTCTGGTCATCTGTGTTTCTCCTGTTGGAAATTTGAGAGATGGCTTAGAGATCTTTCCCCTTTGGACTGAAGATAGTTTCTTTAGGTGATAGTATATACTCCTGAAAGGAAAAAGATTTCTCATAGTTTGCTTTTGCTGACGACTTTTAGCTTTGCTAGGAAATAGGTCATACCTTGAAATCTCTGATTACTAAAAAGACTAGATTGATTCACTCACACTGCTAAATGTTAAGGAAATCCATTCAAATATGAGGTGACAGCCAAAGTGATTTCTTCACACCCTGCTTAAAAGTTGTCCAGAGCCAAGTTTAAATTTACCAGAGGTGCTAGAGAGTACCCAGAGAGAATATATCTGCTTCAATTCATCACAATTTGAAGACATGCTTTTACAGTTTCTAATAGTGTGAACTCCAGAAATATATAACCTTCGAATAAATACCCTGACTCAATGTGAAATGTTGTGAATTACTACCTGAATATGTGTTTAATTTAGAACAATAAGTATTTGTGGGATTCTTCTTTTAGATCCCTTCACTGCAGAGCATGACAGGAAAAGTTGCATTTTAAGTATTTCTGTTACTATTTTTTTAATTTTTATTTTATTCATATGTGCATACAATGTTTGGGTCATTTCTCCCCCCTTCCCCCTGCCCCCTCCCTTACCGCTTGCTACCTGGCAGAAACTATTTTGCCTTTATCTCTAATTTTGTTGTAGAGAGAGTATAAGCAATAATAGGAAGGACCGAGGTTTTTTACTAGTTGAGATAAGGATAGCTATACAGAGAGTTGACTCGCATTGATTTCCTGTGCATGTGTGTTACCTTCTAGGTTAATTCTTCTTGATCTAACCTTTTCTCTAGTTCCTGGTCCCCTTCTCCTATTGGCCTCAGTTGCTTTAAAGTATCTGCTTTAGTTTCTCTGCGTTGAGGGCAACAAATTCTATCTAGTTTTGTAGGTGTCTTACCTATCCTCATACCTCCCTTGTGTGCTCTTGCTTTATCATGTGATCAAAGTCCAGTCCCCTTGTGTTTGCCCTTGATCTAATGTCTGCATATCAGGGAGAACATATGATTTTTGGTCTTTTGGGCCAGGCCAACATCACTCAGAATAATGTTCTCCAGTTCCATCCATTTACCTGTGAATGATAACATTTCGTTCTTCATGGCTGCATAAAATTCCATTGTGTATAGATACCACATTTTCTTAATCCATTCGTCAGTGGTGGGGCATCTTGGCTGTTTCCATAACTTGGCTATTGTGAATAGTGCCGCAATAAACATGGGTGTGCAGGTGCCTCTGGAGTAACCTGTGTCACAGTCTTTTGGGTATATCCCCAAGAGTGGTATTGCTGGATCATATGGTAGATCCATGTTCAGCTTTTTAAGTAGCCTCCAAATTTTTTTCCAGAGTGGTTGTACTAATTTACATTCCCACCAGCAGTGTAGTAAGAGGGTTCCTTTTTCCCCACATCCTCGCCAACACCTGTTAGTGGTGTTGCTAATGATGGTTATTCTAACGGGGGTGAGGTGGAATCTTAATGTGGTTTTAATTTGCATTTCCTTATTGCTAGAGATGGTGAGCATTTTTTCATGTGCTTTTTTGCAATTTGAATTTTTTCTTTTGAGAAAGTTCACTTGGCCATTTCTTTATTGGTTCATTAATTTTGGGAGAATTTAGTTTTTTAAGTTCCCTATATATTCTGGTTATCAGTCCTTTGTCTGATGTATAGCTGGCAAATATTTTCTCCCACTCTGGGTGATCTCTTTAGTTTAGAGACCATTTCTTTTGTTGAGCAGAAGCTTTTTAGTTTTATGAAGTCCCATTTATCTATGCTGTTAGTTGCTGTGCTGCTGGGGTTCCACTGACAAAGTTCTTGCCTATACCTATTAATTCCAGAGTATTTCCTACTCTTTCCTGTGCCAACTTTAGAGTTTGTGGTCTGATATTAAGATCCTTGATCCATTTTGAGTTAATGTTGGTATAGGGTGATATACATGGATTTAGTTTCAGTTTTTTGCAGACTGCTAACCAGTTTTCCCAGCAGTTTTTGTTGAAGAGGCTGCTTTTTCTCCATCGTTTATTTTTAGCTCCTTTGTCAAAGACAAGTTGGTTATAGTTGTGTGGCTTCATATCTGGGTCCTCTATTCTGTTGCAGTGGTCTTCATGTCTGTTTTTGTGCCAGTACCATGCTGTGGTTATTGTTATTGCTTTGTTTCTGTTACCATTGTAAATTGTGAACATTTATAGATTGCAGGTGTCAAGACAGGAAAATTAGGTTCTGGCTTTCAAATGGATGGTATGGTCAATGTTTTGCTGAATTTTCTGTGTGTAGTAAATATTAATAATTTCTGAGTATACTTACTTTCTGGATAGTATGTAATATTGTATCACTGATACATTTTAACTTATGAAGATGAATTTGATCCACTAGGCTTCATGACTACATAATCTTTTCTTGTTTCCCCAGCATCAAAGCTAAGGCAGAACATTTCCATCCCTGGTGACAGGCATAGAAAGGAGGCTGGAATGAGTGTGACTGACCACAGCAGCTTTTTAAGATTCCTGATATTACCAACATAGAAACAGGTGGAATGAAGAGGAATCTGTCTACATGGGCTTTAAAAAGTCTTCATTCTTCCAGTAGCTGTCACTGTGAAAGTATGCATGGATATTTATGTATTTATATTTTGCATACTCTAAGATGATTTCATCAGCATTGTAGAAGCCAAACTTTTGTTTAAAATGTCTTTTTTTTTATGTTGATGTAATTGTTTGGATTTTTCAACAATGTACCTTGAAGTGTGATTCTGTTCTTTGGCCTTTTTTTCCTATTGAGGCAAATTAGATTCCTTTATTTCCTTATTTCTACCTGGAATGTACACCACTGCCACACATACTTATCTTTTTGTAGGAAATGAGAATCATATCATAGGCCTAAGGTAACCCGTGAGCTAGCTCATGGGAAGAGACAGCCTCCAAAAAAGCATTTGGCCTTTTAATAAATTCATTGAGGGCTGGGGATGTGGCTCAGTGGTAGAGCACTTTGCCTGGCATGCTCAGGGCCCTGGGTTCTATCCCCAAGACCGCAGACAATAAAAAAATAAGTGAAATTCATTTGTAGGAGATTCATTTCCCTGTGTCTCCCAGGCTGCTGAGTAAAGCCCACAGTCTTTTTGTTTCGGGAGGGCATCTGAGCTTTGGTCTTTAGACATGAACTGCCTTGCACATAAGCCTCTCAAGAAATACTTTGCTGGGCCTCGGTGGCTCACACCTGTAATCCTAGCTACTAGGAGGCAGACATCAGGAGGATCGCATTTTGAAGCCAGCCAGGGCAAATACTTCATGAGACCCTATCTCGAAAAAACCCATCACAAAAATAGGGCTGGTTGAGTGGCTTGAGGTGAAGGCCCTGAGTTCAAACCCTAGTATTGTTAAAAAAAAAAAAAAATTGTAGCGCAATCCTGCATTGCTCTGAGATTTTGGTATTACTAGTCCCCCTTTTAGTTAATGTATCTGTTCCAAACTGCCTCCGTTTCTTTTATTTAGCCCCACCATAAAGTCTGTACCTCCAGATGTAGATAGTAGGAGGGGCTTCATTATGGGCAGCATGGGTCCTCATTGGCAGGCACTGTGCTTGGCACTGGCAATTGTGGCCAATGAGACAGAAGCCTCTGCCTTAGCATAATCTACTGGTGAATATGGGTAAGAACAACCAGAAGTGAGAAGTAGAGCTGGGGAAGTATGGTGTCTGGGGCAGGTAGGTGGGATAACACTCTTGCTCAGGGGTTTAGAGGAAAGCTAAGCAGCACACCTTGTATGGGCCAAGCTTCTAGCTCTGTTCTCCTTACTGACTGGTAGGATAGACCCCAAGTGGTGGCAGGATCTGTGATATGTAATCTTCGACAAGCTACTTCTCTTTCACTAAGCCTTGCCTGGAAAATGGAGATCGTTAAAGCACCTACCACAGAGATCTATGGCAAGAATTAAAATCGTAAATGTTAGGGGGCCAAACAGTGCTCAGTGAGCCGTAGTTTCATCCTCTCTTCAAATGCAGCCTAGCTTTTTGCCATTCTGATTATTTGTGCAAATATGAGGCCTAAAAACTCAAATTATAAAATGTAAAAGCATCAGTATGATTGTTCACTTTAAAAATGCATTGTTAAGTTTCTCATGGGTTTTATTTTCTGTATATTAGCACCAATAAAACAGCTTTTCTATTTTATGAAGTTTTTTCTTGCTGAACTCAGGGCCTTGCACTTTCTAGGCAGACACTCTACCACTTGAACTATACCTCCAGCCCTTGTATGAAGTGTAAGTTGTGGAATGATTCTCCTCTAATCTCCCTTATTTATATTGCAGTGCTAGGGTTCAAACGCAGGGCCTGCTACCGCTGAGCTACACCCCCAGCCCTATCCTTGAGTTTAATTTTTTGGAGACTTCTGTAGTTAATCCACATTAAGTTTTCTAATTAAATTTTGTAATGGTTTTGTCTCCGTTGTTTCTTCAGCTTAAACTGCCTGTTTTTCTTGTCATATTACTTTTACAACTGTGGCTGTTTCACCTCCAAAATTAACCAGTATTACAGATTTTATTCTCAAGAACTTCTGAAAAGGAAGCAGCAAAGAAATGTAAATTTTTGTTGCAGCATTCCTCGTGGTGTAGGTAAAATGGTCACCATCAGCATTGAAAATGTTCACACATCTGAGCTGCAAAATTCTGGCTTCATGTATGAAGCAGATCTGCCCAAGATTTGGGGTGAGAACAGGTGAGATCATATGAAGGGACATAGTGAAGTATACCTTTCAAGTCGTGACTAGGAGGTGGTCTTTTCTGTTAAAGACACATCTTAGGCTTGTGAGGAGCAAGTTTTATCACTTCAGGTGCTCTGTTAACAGTGATGTACCCAATACTGAGTTACACCGGAAAAATCTTTTCTGAAATATCACTTAGTCGTTGGTCCACCCGATCCACCTTCTACCTTACCAGAGACAAGGATTCCCTCTGAACGTCCCCAGGAACTTATGAATCAGGACTTATGTGAATACTGGGCAGAATCACTGCCCATCCTCTGATGCTCTTTAGTCTGAGGTAAAATGTGTACTGTCCACGTGAAATCAGATTTCTATTAGCCTAAAGGTTGCCTGTTTCTTTAGCTCTAAAAACTGCTGGAAGAAAGGTGCTGGTGGTTATGTCTATAATCCTAGCTACTAGGGAAACAGATCAGGATGATGGTTCAAGGCCAGCTCAGGCAAATAGTTTGCTAGCCTCTGTCTCCAAAATCTGGACACAGAGTCCCACAGAAACCAAAGACTAAAAGAAAAATGAGGCTGAGTTACCATTAGATTTGAGCTTATCTTTATATAGACCTGGGTATGTGAACCGGTTTTTTCCTTCACAGTGTTGACAGGCAGCGATGCCTCTTTAGAACATAACCAAGCTGGCCCCATTTGCTTTCCCAACCTAGGAGGCTAATTAACCAAAAAATATCACTGAATATGTATGGCCTTCCAACCAGTGTTGGATGAGCAGCAAAGAGGTCCTTGTTGAGCTGTATGGGCCTGGTGGCTAAAGCACTTGCTTTGCTAGTTTGTTTGCAACTTTTTAAAGTTGGCATCAAAATTATCCTCTTCAGCCTGCATTTTCCTTTTTCTTTGACCATTTTCTCACAGGAACGTTGACTTGTCCACAGTAAGTGTGAGCCAGCAGATACTTCCTTTCTGTTGAGCTACTTTAGCTTAGTGCAGGCATCTGCAAAGTAGGGAGTCTAATTGTTACTGAAGGAGTCAGTGGAAAACTAATGTCTGTGAATGTACCTTGCTTCATTCCTGCCCTGGTTTCTTCTGAGGCCATGCTGGGAAGATATGAAAACCTTTCCAGATTTACACAAAAGAAAAACAAGTGCCCACAACCACCCCCCTCAACCAACCTCCATTCCCAGGGCTGCAAGAGGGTGGAGCAGGGCCTACATGTAACTTTGCATCTGTTAGATACTAGGAAAATGTGGCTGACTGACAAAATAGTGCAATGAACAATGCATCCCCAACCAAATACCAGGCGGCTCTGGAGAGGAGACAGTGGCAAAACCTACAGGGAAAAAGGGTTAGTAGGTGGCAAATCTTGCGAAAGCTCATGTGGTCATTTGCAGACCCCACCTCCACTAGGTGTCTTAGAATCCTGATACCTCAGATAAGTACGGCATGCTCCTGTCCTGCATTGTGGGCATGGCCTGTCCCATTTTGTTCTGTTAAACCAGATTCCTCATCAACCTGTGAATTCTAGGGTACAGCTGACTGCAGTCCCACTTCCCCTTAAACCTGTTTTCAACATCACAAGGAGTAAAACTACAACTCATGTTTCCTTTTACTACTTCGTATTTACCAAGTTGTTTCATAACTATTTTCTACTTTTATAACAAAATACAGAACTACTACTTTAAAAGTATCTCATGAAGACTCAGAAGGACCCCGAAGGTCATATTCTTCTTTTAGGCCTCCTTCCCACACCTATGCATGCAGACAGAGGCTGTCTGGAAAGCAGTTCCTAATTTTTCTTTGGTGTTTGTGTGTTGCTGCTTAAATAACCTGATCCCTGATGCTGATTGTAGCCTATTATCAAGCTGTTCTGTGCAAAAGATCCAGCCCTATATAGCTGGGCATGGTGGTGCATGTCCATAATCTCAGCACTCCAGATGTGAGGCTGGATCTTGAGTTCCAGGCCAGGCTGGGCTACACCAGCCACCATCAGGCCTCAGTGCCGCCCTTGCTCATCTTGCTGGCTTACAGAAGACCCTTCCTGCACATCCCTGGGATTGTCCTCGCTCTAATGTCAACCTTCCAGCTGCTGTTCAAGCGAGTCTTCGCCGGAAACCATGGATTTACATGCTCAGGTGGGAAGTCTCAGAACTACAGCCCACTGAAGCACAGCAACGTTACCAAGTCAGCTTTTCTTTGAAGGTGGTACTTCTAGCCTGTAGTTAAAACTGGTGACCAGCTGAAGTTCCTGAAGTGCTCCCTCTCACTGCCTAGTGTGGTTATCGGACCGAACAAAAGCATCTTTTTCTATGGAACAGAAAAATCTTAGATTTGGAATGAGGCAATAGTTGAGCAGCTCCCTATTCCTTGTTTTCTTTGTATAAGAACCAACCCCAAGCCATAAAATTTCCAACTGTTTCTAAAATGATTTTATATAGGACCAGGCAGAGATGCAAGCCTATCTGCATTTGACATTCTCTTCTTCAGTTCTGCTAGTCCAGCTCAGCTGGTGGGCTGTGGTATTCTTGGCAAAAGATCTTGTTTATAAAGGGAGAAGGGAGGACGACAACTTTATCCTTTGGGCTTCAGAGAGGAAGCAGCCATAGCCAATTCTCTGCTTCTAAGAGCTCTGCCATAAGTGCTCTTATGTTTTCATTTTGGCAGATTATAAGACAGGAGAGGGAGCTGGAGGAGTGGCTCAAGCAGTAGAGTGCCTGCCTAGAGGCTCTGAGTTCAAACCCCAGCACCACCAAAAAAAAAAGAGAGAACCCTTCCTTCAAGGTCTAAAGGGCTCTGATCCCCTTTACTCAAGATCCCAACTCAGTGAAACTTTATGGATCAGTCTTCCAGGATCAATTTCCTCATAATTATGTATGTGGAGGTAGGGATTGAACCCAGAACCTACCACATGCTAACACAGATGGTCTACAACTGAGCTACATAAACCCCAGCCCCAGAAGTGTTAACTTGTAACTAGGACTATTTACCATGGTAAAGCCTTTTCCTAATCAGCTAAAAGGTTATCTGCTTTCTCAGTGGGGCACTCTGTGTATTAGGGTGTTCCCTAACATTATCAACACAGAAGTTAGTGACAAATAAAAGCAACATGTGGGCAAGTACTCTTAGTAAATGGCAGAATTCCCCAAAGACATTCCACATGCAAGTTTGTCATCCAAGTCTGAATCTTCCATATGCCAAAGAGGAAGCTAGGAGTCCAAGTCTTTCCAGGGTTCTGAGTTTCAAGGACAAAGGAGCTAGTGTTGAACTGTGTGTGGGACAGTCACAGCTCATTCATCTTTTAGCCCATTCTATGAACAGAGGAAACATTAAAAACTCAAGACATTACTGATAATATTATCTTAAGTTATAGCAATGGTGGGGAGAGTTTTTGAAGGAAGAATGGCATATTTTTCTTTGTTCAAAGGACAGAGAAAAAGGCCTCTTTTCAATAGCAAGATTTACTTTCTAGTATTTCTGCTGTCATATACTAAGAAAATGGAAGATAACTGCTATCAGCTCATTTTCTTCCTAACTAGATGGGAAGTGAATAGAGGTACCATCCTGGCAGAGGACCCTGTCCTATGGACAATTTCATTCACCACTGGTAAGTTTCTAAATAATGGGCTTTCTATGTACACACATAATCCCTGTGGAACTGAGACTCCACTGGGACTTTGTATTGAAAAATACAATAGAAAACATCATCTAGCTCCCCAAATTTCATTCCTATCTTCTAAAACCTTGGGAAAATTGAGACTCAAAACATCTTTGGGCTGGGGATATAGCTCATTTGGTAGAACACCTGCATAGTGTGCACAAGGGACTGGGTTCAATTTTTAGCATCTCAAAACAATTTTGAACATAACTCTGAATTCTGCTACTTGAGTCCCAACACTACTTGAAGAGTAGCTCATTGGTAAAAAGCTTTCCTAACATGCATGAGGCCCTGGGTTCAATGCCCAGCAGCACCTATGCATATATATAAAAGTACTAAATGAACAAACTTAGGTAGACAGGTACTTTGTTCACTGAGCACAAATGCAATACCTCTAATAGCTTTCTTTCAGACTTTCACCTATGTTAAGAATTTAGATCTATTCCAAAAGTTATTCATATTAATGGAATAATTTTGTTTGAGGGTTGGTTTTGAAGGGTATCCTACGGACTAAAGGATTTTCTAGGAAGGGACAAATGGTCTACTGATTAAGTCACAGTACTTTATATCACAGGCTAGAAAATATTCCTGTATCTAGACTTTACTTATTGACACTGGAAAAAATAACAAAACAGGTGGAAATGGTGGACAAGAATGTTATTTTTCCTATGTTGCAAGTGTGAAGCCCTGTCCCAGTCCTGCCAAAAAACAAAAACAAAAAACCCCCTTTTTTCATTGAACAGATACAAGTCTGTGTATATTTCCATAATCTGGGATGAATATTTAAGTTCAGTAGAATATCCAAAAGAGAACTCAATCTCCAGTTAAAAGATCAAACTAGGTTCAAATCCCAGCTCTTATCACTTTCTAGCTGGGTGACCTTTAAGCAAGTCATTTATCTCTGTACCTAGTTTCCTCATCTGTAACGTATCTACTTTTACAGTTTAAAGAATTAATTTGTTAAAGTGCTTAGAACTTCACCATGTACAGATTGTTCTATGCTAGAAGTACTGTTACCAAGGAAATGTACCACAAAAGCACTGAAACATGAATCCAACAATACAATTTTGCACTTAAACAAGTATCTTAGTTCTAGCTTCTTGCCATGCATTTACAAAAATTTGCATGGCACAATCTTATCAGCTGAAGGTTCATGTCTGATACCCAACAAAAGAACAGGACACAAGACCCAAGAAGAACAAAACAGGAGTTGCCAAGATGGAACCTTCCTAAGGATTTTCTCCAAAAGCTATGTAGACCAGGTATGAGATTGAAGTGAGGTGTCAGGTTTACTAACCTATGTCCTTTAAAGATGTAGCTCCCTTATAATTATCTAATGGTACTTAAAGTATTCCAGTTTTAATTTGAGCAAGGAAAACAGCTAAGGACAAATATAGGTGGTGAAGCAGTATCCAAATAGCATTAGTCTGTAACTCTAGAGTTAAATTACACAAGCACCATACATTTAATATGACTATAAAGTACCTTTAGGGCTGGTGGAGTGCATGAATGGTACAGTGTCTGCCTAACAAGCATGAGGCCCTGAGTTCACTCCTCGGTGCCATCAAAAACTCTCCGCAAAACAAAAGTACCTTTAAATAAAGCACCTTTTGTTGGGCCATGATTCCAGAGAGTTCCCATTTGTACCAAAGTTCTTTAAGACCAAGAATTACCCCCAGGAGCCAAAGTAAAGAACTTCTTTTGGAGGGACGGGAGAAGACGGGGTCTTGCTATGCAGCTCAGGCTGGCCTTGAATTCATGATCCTCCTGCTTCATTCTCCCAAGTGCTGTGCTTATAGGCACGCACCCTCATGTCCAGGTCAAGTGATAACTTTTAAAGGAAAACAGCATTATTCATCCATTCCAGTAACGGTGCTTAATGAATAAAAGCGACAGACACTGGCATCCTGTAACCCAATCTTCCAAAAGAGAAGCTCTTAGCTTATTTCTAGGAGGCTGGTAGGGATGACAAGAAACCCAGTGTTACTGAAATAGCTGTTTTAACTACTAGAGAGACTACACAAGTGGTTCAACAGAATTTACTTGTATATTTTCCATTTTCTATACTATTTGAAGGCATAGGATAGCTTTGTATTAGCTTTCTACAATACTGTGTTTTAACTCAGATGCGGTACAACTTTTATACAACTTAGGAGATAAAAAAATCTCCACAAGAGAAAGCAACTCAGCAGGCCCTGGTGTGAAAACATTTCCCCAGAATAAACAGATATGAAAATGCGTTAAAAAGTGGTCCTCAAATACTTAAATTACACCAAGATTCCTTCCAATATCTGCCTTGCTTAAACCAATGCAACCAATTCATTGCTAACACTGGGGCACGAATTTCTGATAAATGTTTATGGTTTTACTTTCATCACTAATCAAAAGCCTTTTAAAGTGCTACCAGCAGCAGAATCAAATTATGTCAGTTCTCTGCTCATGGTAGATGTGCCAATTGTGAAACTGCAAAGGTACAGTTTAAGAGTGAGTAATGCATGAATAAGCTGTAACAAGTAGCCTAAATACAGAGTTGGACAGAATCAAAGCAGAATCAAAGTCTACAATTACTCAACTGGAACTAATACAGGTACATTCAAAATGAAGCTAAAAGATCAGAATTGGTGTTTAGAATCAAATTTGAAGACTTTCTTGATAAAACAGAAATATGTTCTTTTGAAATTGAAAATGAAACTGTCAATTGATGGAGAGCCAGAGACTTATTACCCTCCTACACAGACAAGGAAATAAGGGACAAAGTCTCTTGCACTGAAGTTATGTATTTTAACAGCTTTACATGTAGTATTCATATATAAAAAACTTTAAGTGCTTTTCTCCAATTTAAAAATCTAAAGAATTCAAAAATAAGGCATTCAATATTTGAAAAAAGTACAGATTTACAAAATGTGTATATTCTGTCATGAAAACTCCACACCAACATTGTACACTTGGAAAAAAATACAAACAGGATATATTACAAATTTATGCAGCAATAACTTAGTTCACACACCATGCAATAAAAAGTACATTAATCGAGATACACAAGCTTTTGTAGTTCTAAACTGAAGGACTTTTTTCTTTTTTTTTCTGCACAATCCTTAAAACCTGTGGCACTTAAAATTTGTTAGCCTTTCTACTAGGAGGTAAATTATACACAACAATGATGAAAAGACGAACAGACCACTTGTCTATTACGAATCATTCCAGCTTTGTTCAACAATGGCCGAAACTCTTTTCTCATATTCTCGTTTGTTTTCCTGATAAAGCTGTGCTGCCTGGCTATTGGCTGGACTGTTTGGATTCGGTTCATCCAACAGGGACTAGGAAAACAAACAGATTTGCAGTTATTCTTTATACAAAACAACATAAATTATTCTAGTGGTTAGTATGTCATCTATTTTTAGATCTAAATACTTTTAGAAATGGTGTGAGAAAAGGTTTCCTGCTGCTAGAGAACATAAGTTTTCCAAAAAGTCATTCTCAACTGCCTTCAGATCCCAATTTCAAGGAAATCAGAGAAGACTTTCTCACTAACCAAGAAATAAACAGCTTAATTTGGTTAAGATATAACACCTAGAAATACCTTCATAGCCAATATTTTCCAAAGTCAAACTCTGTCACAATTACTACTATTATTACATGTGGTGCTTGGGATTAAATTCAGATCCTTGTACATGCCTGGCAATTGCTACCACTGAGCTACATCCCCAGCCATAAACTGTAATATTGTGGTTACTTTGCAAATGTCTGACAGTAAGTTTGGCAGGGGGGGAGGGAGAGTTTTGTTTCCTTTGGTAAACAAAACATTCATTTAGCAGAGAGGGAATGAAATAGGAAGGCTGTAAAATGTCTGGAATTAAAAAAGTAGGACAGAAAATATTTTTAAAAAGATGATCACAACCCAAGCCAGTGGCTCATGCCTATAATCCTGGCTTCTGAGGGGACAGAGATCAGGAACACCATAGTATGAAGTCAGCCTGGGTAGTTAGTGAGACCCCAACCCCTATCTCAATCAATAAAAAGCTGGGTCCATCCCAGCTAGGCAGGAAGCATAAATAGGAGGACAGTGGTCTAAGCTGGCTCATATTCAAAAGACCCTGTTTGAAAAAATAACCAAAACAAGTCAGGTGCCGGTAGCTTGCACCTGTAATCCTAGCTGCTCAGGAGGCAGAGATCAGGAGGATTGTGGTTTGAAGCCAGCCCTGGGCAAACAGTTTGCAAGACCCTAAAACCTTAAGCAAAAAGGGCTGGTGGTGTAGTTGCTCAAATGCTAGAGCACCTGCCTAGCAAGTGCAAGGCCCCGAGTTTAAGCCCCTGCTCTGCAACACCCCATCCCACCACAAAAATAAATAAAACCACAAACCAAAATTTTACTTTTGCTTCTCCTAAACTGACATTATTAAATACTCCTCCAGATTCTTTTGGCAAAGTTATACCCCCTGTTTGTAAAAACAGAATTTTTTGGATGGGACAACATATTCAATGCTTCTATGATCTTGGTAGTTTTTTGAGGTCTCTATGGTTTTCCAAGCAATCATCTTTATTTCTCCCCATGATTTTCTTCTCCACAACCTCTGGCAACAATACGTGGGCATGAATAAGTTTGACCTGTAAGAACATGTAACTGACATACGATCAGGAAACAGGTTTTGGACCGGATCTCATGTGGTCAACTAACAAAAGAACGGACCCAGTCACCTGAAAACCATGGGTTCTTGTCTGAACTTTGCCATTAGTTACCTGGTGCTGGGAAGGTTAATTTACTCACTGGTCTTTAGACTGTTTGTAAAGGAGCTGACTATACCCTACAGAACACTGAAAAATTAAGGTGCATTCTAACACACACTTACCTGAATTGATGTTAAGATAGAGGACACATCGTATGTTGGACTCCATCGGTTCTGAAGGATATCTAAACATATGCTACCATCAGCGTACACTGCAAAGACAACACCAAAGTTGGTTACATGGTAACTCTGTCATATCTCACAGTTAAGAGAAATCTTTACTACAAATAGAATGCTTGGCCCAGTCGGAAGTTTGGAACATTAGCAAACTTTTTTTCAGAAAAACCTGTTTTAAGACTAAGGTCTCCCACTACACATCTTATCATCAAGAGGCTGAGAGTTAATGCATACCATACAGCAATCCGTTTAAATTCTGTATGTCAGGGACGGGGGGGGGGGGGCAGCTCAGTGTCAGAGTGCCTGCTTAGCATATGTGAAGCCCTCGGTTCAATTCCTGATTTCTAAACATTCTTAAGTTATTGAAAAACTACTTATTTATTAACATAGCAATTCTACGCCTAGAAATTATTCTAAGGAAATTATCATGAACATAAATGAAGATTTACTCATAGGATGTTCCCCGTAATACTATCTGTGAGTAAAAAACTGCGAACTACCTTATGGTTCAGGTCTGGCTAAACAGATAATGGGGTTGGGGAATGGCCCAGTGGTACAGTACCTGGCTAGCACACACAAAGCTCTCAATTACATCTCTAAGCACCATAAAATAATAAATATTACTTACGTAAAAAGATACAGCATATTACCTTAAAAAAAGTTTACAACTATTTATATCAAGTAACTCCATAGTTTGGAATTATAAATATTTTCACTTTTAAGTATATGTAGTCACAAAACATTTGTAAGATTAAATATCAAAATGTAAGCAGTAGATATTTGTGGATAATAGGATTATGAAGGATCTTTTTTTCTTTCCCCTTTCTTGTACCTTCTGATATGTTTTTCTAACAAATATATTACTTTCGTGATTTAAAAAATCAAGTGATTAAACCAATGATGTGAAAATAGAAGTAACAAACATAAACCTTTACCTACTTGTGAGACTAGGTATCTATAAGTACAACTGCTATTGCTGACAAAGGGTAAATGTGCTTAAATTTTCTATATACTACCAACTCTGAAAAGTTTTACAGAGCAAGGCAGAACACCCTACATAAAAACAGTAATATATGAGGCTTTTTGGGGGACACTTAAATATTGCCATTCCACATGGTTCCACCCTAGGCTTTCTTCCTTCTTCCCCATTATTTACCTCTGGGCAATCCTATTCACTCCCCTGGCCTCAGTTACTCATGATTGTTAACTTTAACCCTGGCTTCTCTCCCAACTTCAAAGTAGCATAGTCAACTGGTTGCTGTCTCTCCCATAGAATCATCAAACTAGGCACCCTCAAAGCAAAAGAAGTACAAAACAATTTTAAAGTTTTGAACAAGAAGCTATTTTTGAGAATTCAAAACTAAATTAGAAACTGAAGGCCTATCAATTAATGAACAAAATGCAGTATGTTTATATGATAAAATATTATTTAGTAGCAAAAACAAAATATAGACACACATTACAATATAGACGAACCTTGAAAAGTTTATGCTAGGTGAAAAGAAGTTGGCCACAAAGGACCATATATTATAAGATTCCATTAATATGTAATGTCCAGAATGTCAAATCTTGAAAAGAAAATAAAAATTGACTATGTCAATGGCTGTACAAGTGTGATTATACTAAAAATCACTGAATTGTACATTTGATATGAGTAAATAGCATGGTTTGTAAATTTATTGCAATAAATGCTTTTGTTCTTTGATGGTAGTGGGGTTTGAACTCAGGGCCTTGTGCTTGCTCGGAAGGCACTTTACCACTTCAGCCACACCCCCAACCCAATGAATGCTTTTAAAAGGTGTATCAGAGCTGGGCACAGAGGCATGTGCCCATAACCTCAGAAACTTGGAAGGCTGAGGCTGGAGGGCCAAAGGTTTGGAGCCAGCCTGGGTATACAGCGAAACCCTGTCTCAAGGGTTGGAAGCGTGGCTCAGCAGTACAGCGCTCCTCCAGCCTGCACAAAGCAGGGGATCTGATCTCCAGCACTGCCAACAGCAACAAAGGCATCCCGAAGGAAACAGCCAGCTTCAACTTCAACTTCACAGCAACGAAGCATCAGGAGCTAATCAGGAACGGGAGGGACAGCCCAGTGGTGGAGTGCTTGCTAGCAAGCGGGAAGCCCAGTTCAAATCCCAGTACCAAAAAACAAAAACAGGTTGGGATTCTGAAATGCTTGGACTCAGAAGATGCAGATTTCAGAGTATTTGCACATACATAATGAGTGAGGATGGAATCCAATTTCTAAATATGAAATTCATTCATGTTTTACATATACCTTATACACATGAGCTGAAGAAATTTCCTACAGTATTTTTAGTAATACTGTGTATGAAACAAAGCTTCAACGTCTGGAATTTTGCATTTACTGTGTCATGTTGGTGCTCAAAAAATTTCAGATTTTTAGCTGAACATGGCAGTTCACAATGAATCCCAGCTACCTGGGAGGCAGAGATTAGGAGGATGTTCTGAGGCTGACCCAGGCAAAAAATTAGCAAGACCCTCATCTCAATCAGTAATCTGGGTGTGCTGGCACATGCCTGTGGTCCTGGCTTCACGGGAAGCCATAGGTAAAATGTGAGACCTACCTGAAATAACTAAAGCAAAAAAGGGCTATGAGTGTGATTCAAAGTGATGGAGCATGTATCTAACAAGTTCAAGGTCCTAAACTGAATTATTGATGCTCGATGTGTATATTACTAGGGAATCACCTCAATTCTAACTGCCATCTTTTTTTTTTTTTTTTTCTTCTGGGTATGTTATTGACTTACAGTACCAGAGACACAATTAAAAGGACCTCTAAAAATGTTCCTCTTCAAAGTAAATTGACTTATACTGGGTGCCAGTGGCTCACGCATGTAATCCTAGCTACTCAGGAGGCACACATCAGGAGGATCACCATTCAAAGTCAGCCTAGGCAAATAGCTCCAGAGATCCTATCTCTAAAATACCCAACACAAACAAAAAACGGGGCTGGCAGAGTGGCTTAGTGGTAGAATACCTGTGTAACAAGCACCAGGCCCTGAGTTCAAACCCAGTAACACCGTTTAAAAAAAAAAAGTTAGCTAGCTAATATTAACAGCTGTTATTATTATCTAAATTTTGTGACAGGGTCTTACCCTGTAACTTAAGCTAGCCTTGAACTTGAAATCCTCCAGTCTCAGACTCCGAAGTGCTGGGATTGCTGAGATGGCAAGTATATGCCACCACACACCACTGGAGGACCACATTTAAATAAGCAAATATTATAAAACCAAAGACGATCTTGGAGTAGTCTTTCACACAGTACTTTATAATAATCCAGAAATCTGAATGTAATAGATGTAAGGTATAATTCATGGAAGATCAAATTTAATTACAAAAGTTACCCAGCCATTCATTTAATAAAGAACAGTGACAAAATAAATAGCCTTTGACCTAGGCAGCTCACTTTAAAAAATTTCTCCAAAGAAGTAATGATTGGTATCTGTAGTTAATTGTTTTCAAGAATGTTCAAAATCACCAATAATAAGACACTGGTTACATAGATTATGGTAAATTTGCAACAGAACATTTTACAGCCATAAAAATCTGTACCAGTGGCTCATGCCTGTAATCCTAATTGAGAGGCTGACATTAGGAGGATAGAGGGCTGAAGGTCAGCCTGGGCAAATAGTTCTCAAGACTCCATCTCCAAAATAACCACGAACTGCAAGTGTGGCTCAAGTGATAGAGTGCCTGCTTTGCAAGCTCGAAGCCCTGAGTTCAAACCCCAATCTGCCCCCCAACCCCCCAAATCTGTAGCTTAGTGGTAGAGTGTATTCTTAGCATGGCTTTGGGCTCAATACCTAGTGCATATACACATGCAGACACACAAAGACTAATACTTAATAAGGAAACATGTTCACAGCCATGTACAATATGATCTCAATTTGTATAAATAAAACTGTATTCTTTGTATAAATAAATTTGTATTTTTTAAAAGCTACACTTCAGGTGCAAAATTTTGGTATTTTTCAGTTCTATAAACAAATACGTATTACTTTAGTTGAGAAGTTATTAAAACAAAATTTTACCTCATATTTGCTAACATTGCAGGTGCAAAATGTGCCTAATATGGATATAGCTGGCCCTAACATGAGAAGTGAAAGACTACACCTAACAGGAGGGAGACAATGTTTGCACCACCCCTACCCCATTGTTTACAAGGTCTAGAAGATTGTTACTTACCATTTGGATGAAACATTTTGGATAAAAACCTAACAGTTGGCGGTTTATTTGGATATTCTTCAGAAAATTCTATTACTAATTTAAAAGTACCTAGATAGAAAACAAACCAAAATAATTATAGTAAAGACAACACAGTTTCAAATTTCCTCAATTAATTCTCAACCCCATACTGGTTTTTGCACACCACACAAAAATTAACTTGTCAACTCTGCTTTAGCACACAAAACATTCTACAATACTTCTGTTTCTGTTTATGTTAACTGTTAACACACAGCATAAGCATGGAATAAGCACTTCCACGTGCTATTGGTGGGAGTATAACTGTCATATTTTTGCAAGGCAACTGGGCCCTAGCTACCAAGATTTAAACTGCACACTCAAAGAACTACAAACAGTTCACTATAGCCTAGAAGGGGTATGCCAAAGGATTTTGAGACAGGCCAACTACCACATGGCTAAAGACCCAGGCATACCATGTAATGTAAAAAATCATCTGTGTCCCATACCAATGGGATATACTCCACTACTCCCTTTTCTTTGGATATGCCAAGCAAGAATTATTAAACTTAATACAACAAAGAAACCTCTTGCAATTGCTTTAAGTGGGGCGGTTAGGGGGTTTAGGGGGAGAGACGATGGGGGCAATGTAACTAAGGTACCTTTGGAATTGACACTACGAATCCCCCTGTATAATGAACTTATCCTAATTATTACAATGGCCTACTATTGGTTACAACAGGCCAACACGGTACATGTTTTGGTCAGTCTGATTCATTATTTAATGGTAAATAGACATTTCAAATAATTATATATCTGTAACAAAGTCGACCTGTTGAGAGTTCAGAGAAGTTAAGGAGACTGAACTCTAGTTCCAATTCTTCAGAATTCCAAGAAATAACCACTATTAATGATTTTGTGTTTGTACTTAATTAACTATTTTGAGCCCTTTTATCTATAGGAAACACACCCAAAGGGTGGAGAGGTCCTCCAACTATGTAACCCCTTGGACAAACTCAGTAAACTCTAAGTTACTTCTAATGAAGTAAAAATTTAAACCAATCTAGATATTTCTACAAGATTCTTGTTGTTTCATCAATGCAACTAAAACAAAAACACCATTTTGTCAGCCTAAATTCTCAGTTTATGGCTTCAATCTGCCAAGATTAGAAGCTCGTATTTAGTAAAATATATCTAATCTCCATTGGTCATATATTCAGAATACACCTCCATTTCTTCAGTTTTTTTTGTTCAGAAATTTGGTATCAGGGAGGTCAGAGATGTAAGTAAACCAAAGGCAATTCTTATTTCCTATTTGCACATATATTGATACAACAGAGATAGCTAATGAAGTTAGCCTTATGCCTTTTTCCTCATGCTGGGGATCAAACCCAAACCTTCCTGCATGTTAAGCATATACTCTTCCACTGAGCTACATCCCTAATCCTTACATTTTCTAAGTTTACATTAAAAAAAAATTTTTTTTTGTGGAACTGGAATTTGAACTCAGGACACTCTACATTTGAAACCATACTTCCTACACTTAAATTTCTGAACTATAAAAAATTCAGGCAAACATAAATATGAAACATTTATCCTTGAGTTTTTTTCCTCAGGACCACTTTACACTCTTAGTACCACATCATGGCCAAGAAGTAAATTCATGGTACACAAAACTGGGGATAGGTATCTATAACAGCATACCATTTTATTGTTTCTCACCACAGACAGACAAGAATAACTTCCAAGAATACCATAAATTGTATAATGTGGCAAAATAACTAGAACATGATAAGGTTTGACTGTTATCACTTTCTGATTTGTAAAACCTTTTAGTATCACTCTTGTAAATCAGCATAAGCCACCCTCTAGCAAACCATGGCTATAACTATTAATAGTTGTTGTATTAGAAACTAACTCAACCAGATGTGGTGGAACATGGCTTACGGGCTGAGGTCCGTAAGGAACAATGGTTGAAAAGTAGAATTTGTTCATAGTAGGGGAAAGATACATCATTCACAAGGTTCCTTCATAGAAGCTTGCTGGGTGTGGTGGCGCATGCCTGTAATCCTAGCTACTTGGGAAGCAGAAGTGGGAGAATTACAGTAAAAAGTCAAGACCCTATTTGAGAAATAACTTGAAGCAAAAAGGGCCAGGATTCAAGTGGTAGAGCATCTGCCTTGCAAGTGTGAGGCCCTAAGTTCAAATGAGAGAGAGACAGAGACAGAGGACAGAGGAGGGAGAGAGGGAGAGAGACAGAGAGACAGAGAGGGAGAGACAGAGAGAGAGAGAGAGAGAGAGAGAGAGAGAGGGAGAGGGAGAGGGAGAGAGAGACCGAGAGAGATCTTATTTCAAAATAAAAAAAAAAAAAAAAAGGGTTTGGGACATTAGTTCAGTAGTAGAGCTCTAGTCTGGCATGCATAAAGCCCTGTGTTCAATCTCTAGTACTAAAAACACACACACAAAATTAACTCAGAAAATCTTAAAATATTCAATTAATTAAAAATGCCTATCACAACAAAAATTGCCTATTAATAACACATTAATCTAAGTAACATTAATTAATGAAAAGTTAGTAAGAAGTACAGTGCTATTTTACATTTTTACAGTTACTCTTTTATGATTGGCTTAATAGAAGACAGCTGGATTCCCTTATCTGATTCTGCACTCAATCTGTTACAATATGTTATTTTGGGTGAAGTATAGTACATGAAGAAAATCTGGCCTCACGCAAACGTGTTAACTGAAAAAGGAGTATTCTCATAGCCTTTTCAGATAACTGCAGATAATTCTTTTTGATACTGCAGAAAACAGTCATTCCTTAAAGGCTTGTTGCAATGTAGAAATCTGAAACCTTATCAAACTTTTTGTACTCAGTTACATTAAAATCTGCTGTAATTTGCATTTTTTTTTTTTTCCACAACACTAGTGATTGAACCCAAGGCCTCACACATGCCAAGCATGTGAGTTACATCCTCATCCCTGTCCGTCATTCTTCTCAGGTAAAAAATGTCTCATGAAGGCCAGCTCAGGCAGAAAGTTAGCAAGACCCCATCTCAATCAGTAAGAAGGGTGTGTGGCAGTCATCTCAGCTATATGGGAAGTGTAAGGGCTGGGGGGCATGGCTTAAGTGATGGAGCACTGGATTAGCAAGTTAAGACCCTGTGCTGGAGCCCCAGTACTGACAGGGGGCGGGGGGAACCAAACATGAAGAGAACAGTAGCTTAAGTTGCAACTCACCTGTAGAGTGCCTTTTCTTCCACACAACCATAACACTTTTGTATACAGAGAAATGCTTTATTACTATTTCCCACTTCATCACATAAAATATTAAAAAGATATATACTGAAAGCTGAGAATTTAATACTAATTTCAACTGTTTTTCAAGGCATTTTAATTTTAATTTTTTTTTTTTGGCAGCACTAGGGTTTGAACTCAGGGCTTCATGCTTCCTAGGCAGGAGGTCTTACTGCTTGAGCCATTCTATCAGCCCTTCAAAGCATTTTAAAGTAAAACCAACATCTTTTAAAATGCAAAGAATAGGGGCTGGTAGAGTAGCTCAAGTGGTAGAGTGGGTGCGCAAGCAAGCTTAAGGTCCTTAGTTCAACCCTTAGTACTGCCAAAATAAAATAAAATGCAAAGAACACAATGAGAATTAGTAGTTTGGTACCACTGTCTTGATTTGGTCTAAGATGCTAAACTGTATTATTAACAACCACTTTTTGAGCCAGTAATGCAAATGCTAACAGTTTTAGTAAAAAGACAGCTTTAATCACACGGTTCCCCTGAAAGGACTGAGAGAGATCCCAAGGAGTTTATGGACCTTACTTGAAAACCCCTGATATAAGGGAGAAAAAGCTAACATCCTAAGTACCTCCTTCAATTCCGTACCTTCCAGCGAGAACAGATGGTGACAGTGTAGGACATAATGCACACTTATTTAGTAAAATCGGGATGTTATATCATACATTACTCTTTAACGTTTTTGCTTACTTAGACATACGTCAAGGTATGTGTAATTTTTTAACAGGTATGTAAAATTCCAGAATCCAGATATATTATCATCTGCTTAACCATTTCTCTTATTTAGCTTTTAGATTATTGCTTTACAAATAGTTCTGCAATCAGTATTCGTGTATAAATAAATTCCTTAGATGGATTAATTCTGAAGTCATTTTTCTGATTACAGCAAAGTTGCTTAATTAAAAAAAATCATGCTGTAATTAGGGAAATCTAAGTATCTGGTTAAAATAAGTTTGAAAAATTCAATTATAAATACATATTATAATTTCTTTCTCATTTTCTTGGATCCTAGTGAATACAGAGCTAACCCTGCTTACAAAGGATTATGCATGCCGCTTATGGGTGGTAAATGCCAGTATTACGCGTAGCTACTCACAGCTATGTATGTTTAAGAATCATCTCACCTTTCTGCTGATGAGAACCTCCCCAGAACATCCCTCTCACAAAGGATCTCCTACATTCCTCTCCAAAAGTGAAGAAGAAACACAAGAAGCGCCTGATACAGATTCCCAATTCTTAATTAATGGATATGAAATGCCCAGCATGCTAGAGAATCACCAACATCTTTAGCCAGACACAAACGGTAGTTTTGTGTGATGGCTGTGCCACTGTCCTCTGCCAGCCCACAGCAAGAAAAGCAAGGCTTACAGAAGGTTGTTCCTTCAGAAGGAAGCAGCACTGAAAGCAAGCTGAATCAAGACGAATGGGAAACCATCCCAATAAACACACTTTGGATATATAAAAAGAAAAATCTCAGCCAGGCACCAGTGGCTCAGGCCTGTAATCCTCACTACTTGGTTGGGAGGTTCAAGATTCAAGGCCAAGTTCTCAAGACCCCATCTCCAAAAAATAACCACAGCAGAAGGGACTAGAGGCATGGTTCAAGCAGCAGAGTGCCTGCTGCTTGCTTTGCAAGCTCAGAACCCTGAGCTCAAACCCTAGTCCCATTAAAAAAAGGAAAAAAAGAAGAATGTCAGGGCCAGGGTTGTAGCTCAATGGTGGAGCACTTGGCCCTGGGTTTAAGGCCCCAAAACTGCCAACATAAGGAAAAGGAAAGAAGAATGTAGGGTAACAGTCTGCTGATATAGATAACAAAGTAAAAAAGCATGATTATGCTCCTGGTGTTTATCTCAAGGACAACATATCTTGCTACAAGGCCTTCCAGACATAAACTATTCTCAACACAGACCTGGATCTAGGCTTACAGTCCTACAGGCAAATATCAAACACAATAGAGGTGACCAAGCAGATGTATGAGAAAAGTCTCTTGTAAACTCCAAATGCTCATCAGCTTTACTTGGTAGAAATACGACTGGGAGTCTGGGCTGGGGGTGTGGCTCAAGTGGTAGACTGCCGTTTATCAAGCGCAAGGCCCTGAGTTCAAACTCTAGTATGGCCAAAAAAAAAAAGGTACATAGATACATTGCTCTTATAATCTCCAACTTAAAAGCATACTTTCAATACTACAGAAAACAGTAAGAATGACTTACCATCCTCAAAGGGTGTCCCTTCTGGTCTGAAAAATAAGAAAATTTCCAATTAAAAAAGTTTTTTAACCTTTTTCCTTATTTTCAAAAATGGAAAGGATAAACTCAGAAGAGAGGCTCATTCTGATAATCGTAGTTTTAAACATAATTTTCATTTAATACTATCTTGGTCTTGGAATAATTTTCTTTTTAGGGTGGTTTTACAAAACTAAATTAACTTGCCCTTGCTTTTAGCACAAACAAAATCCAATTCAAGCCAGGCATCAGTGGTGCATACTTGTAATCTTAGCTACTTGGGAGGCTGAGATTAGAAGAACCGTGGTTTGAGGCCAGCCCAGACAAAAAGTTTGTGAAACCCCTCCATCTCAACCAAAAACAGGGCATTGTAAGTGATCTGCCATCCCAGCTGTGGTGGGAAGTGTAAAATGTGGACTGAAGTTCAAGCCAGCCTGGGCAAAATGCGAGATCTCATCTCAAAAATATCCAGAGCAAAAAGGGTTGGCAATTCAACCAATAGAGTGCTTGCCTAGGAAGTGCAAAGCCCTGAGTTCAAACTGCAGTACTGCCAAAAAAAAAAAAAAAAAGAAAAAAAGAAAAATATTCAGTTCACAAATACTGACCAGTCATCATCTGTATGTTTGAGACAAGGTTCTGCCTTGCCCCAACTCATGACCATTCTGCTTCAGCCTCCCAACTAGGATTACAGGCTTTTATCACCAACTCCAGACATAGTATGCATTCTCCTCTTTTTTTATTTTTGGCAGTACTGGGGTTTGAATTCAGGGCTTCACCTCACGCTTGCTAGGCAGGTGCTCCACCACTCCACCAGCCCGTAATATGCATTCTTAAGAGGAAAAGTAAAATCCAAAATCAATACCCTATAGTTTAAGATAGTTATGATACCAAACCAAAGTGTCCTGCTTTCTAACAGAACAATAGCTCTCATTCAGCTAAGTATAGATGGTGTCACCAAGAAAACCAGATTTTTATGCTCAGATCTTTTCCCAATTTTTCTTAAGCAGCAGCATGAAATATATTATTTGCAAGGTATATTCAAGATCTCAAAGAAGCCAGGCATGGTGGTACATATGCTTGTAATCCCAGAACTCTCGAGGATGGAGGCAGGAGGATCAAGAATTTGAGGCCAGCCTGGGCTGCACAAGACCCTGTATCAAGATCTCAAAGAAACAGGGTAACAAGATTGAAATAATACAAGTACTTGGGATCCTCCTACCTCGGCTTCAGAGGGTTGGGATCACAGGTATGCACCAACACAATCCCCCAGTTCCTGTCTCAAAATAAAAAAGGACTTGGGGTGTAGCTCTGTGGTGGAGCTCTTGCCTAGCATGTGTGTGCAAGGCCTGCCTTGGATTCCCCAGAAGCCTCCCCCTCCCCACAAAAAATTAAGATGGTTTCTTAAATGGCTCCATTCATTTATTTCACACTGGGCTGTGACACATTTTCAGTTAAAATTCTTGCCACAGCAGAAACTCTCAGTATTTTTGGTTCCAAGCCTTTTCACAGCTCCAATAGAATGAGTGTAAACATTTGCAGGGCACATTTTGTACAAAGCAATTATCTTTTCTCCCTTATTATTCCAGTCCATGTAATCTCAAAGTTTTTTTTCTTTTCTCTAATAAATATTTTTGGTGCTGGGCATTGAAACCAGGGGCTATGTATGCCAAGCAAGTGCTCTACCTTCAAACAGTATTTTAGGTGGGGAAAGGGGTAGTGAAGTGATAGTAAACCTTATTAGGAATACACTTCCAATAGAATGAAAGCAGGTCATAGGTCATCTCTAGATAGAGCCAGAATGATCAAACAGTATTTTTTAAACCAACCACCTTAAGAGATTATAAAGCCACAGTCCCAGCTACTTAGGAGGCTAAAATAGGACGATCACTTGAGCCCAGATGTTCAAGGCCAGTCTGGGCAACTTAGCAGTACCATTTCAAACAAAACCACATATAACAACAGCAAAGAGCAAATAAACTAAACAGCCAAACCCTTATTAAGATGTGTTTTGGGGCTGGGAGGGGGGTGTATAGCTCAGAGGTAGAACACTTGTTCAGCAAGCCCAGAGGCAATTGGGAGGTGGGGGGGGGAGGGAGACAGTTTTTCTAACTAATATTGGAGTTTCAGTCCTTAAGATCCCAGATTCTATCTCAGTCTCTTTTTATACATGGCAGTTATATACTTTTCTTAAAGAATCGCCATATACCTATTTCTTGGAAAATCAACTCACCCAAATATAACTGCATTCCACTGCATGATGTTGTTTTCAGATGGTGCGCCACTGACCCCCACAGGTGGGTCTTCTTGCAATCTAGAAATTCAGAGTGGTCATTTTCAAGTTGAACAATAAGGCCAGTAAAGAGGAGACAGACACCTTTAGACTCCTTACCACCTACTTTGAGACACTAACACTAAATCAATTTCCTTTTTACTGTGCTAAGCTGGAAAGAGCTATATGATTTAAATATGTCAACCGCGTGTGTGTGTGTGTGTGTGTGTGTGTGTAAAACTAAACCCACCTCCAAATTATCTATAAGTCTATATAGGGTTTGGGAATCGTCCTTCTTAAATTAGAGATTAACATATCTCCTTAGAAATTGATGTCTTGTACCATAAAAAGTTTAAAATGTCAACAGCCAAAAAATATTTTTACAGTCACCAATTTTCCTTCTCTAAACACGTGAGGTCTGCGTTGAATCCTAAGCTTAGTTACTTGTGCGACACCATTACCAAAGAAAGTGAAGGTCAGTGTACACACTAAGCAAGTAAAAACCACTTACATTCAGTTTAATTAGGAAGCTAGTTTTAAGGCAGTTTTACTTCATCCCCTTTGCTTCAGACAGCAATGGCTTTGTAAAGTAATCAGAAGTCCAGTTAGGTTTTCCAACAGTCTCTATTATAAAGCCTCTGCACTAAGGCCAAATGCACTTCACACACCAGGAGACTCAATACAAAGTCGTCACTGTTAAATTCTAGTAACCTGAAGACCCCTGGAAAATGACCAAAGGTGCCATGTGTTCAATTCAGAATTAAGCAGAGAATTGCGATAATGAACGAGAAAATTTTATTTTGAATTTCAGTCATGACAGCTAATCAAATCTATTGATTTCAGACGACTTTTGCAACAAATAATGTCTCCTTTAAAAAACTTAACAGAAATGTCTACCGTAGACACACAATTTCAGTGTTTTTCATGTGGCATAATACTCGCAATTGTCCACATTAAAATTGTACTATTTGGTCAACCGCACGCAAATTAGAAACAAAGAGAAGGCTTTGAAAAAACTGCTGGACGCCCACTTTTAAGTATCTAAAAGCCATTTAAATGATAAATGATGAAGTTGGGTAAGGCCCAAAACAATGGCTTCCCAATGCCTCACAAGGCTTTGTAATGGCGAAGTTTGTAAGTTATTTCCCGAGCGGCAAATCCAAGATTTTATACCACCTATTTGTCCTAATCAGGGCAAGTTTGATCAGGGGGCAGAAAAAAAAGGAGAACTTTAGAAAACTGTATAGAATATCGTAATGCCAAACTTCTCACTCATTCGTTTCTGCACCTGTAAGTACTCGATAAAAGGTAAACTGAAGTCATTTCCCCCTTACAAATCCCCCCGCCCCGACCTAACAAAACCCTGTGCTACAAAAGGAGACCCAGGGAATATGAGATTAGCGCCAGTCTGCGGGAAGGCATTTTTCCAGACTGGGAAGCTATAGATAGGCCTTTATTCACCGGCCAGCGGTTCCACGGGTGGCCGGCCGGGCTTAGCCTCGGAGTCAGTTCTCAAGGTCCTTCCCCGCGAGCGGGGGGGTCACAGTCGGGCTTCGGGGAACGGGTCAACCACCTCCGGACCTCGCGCAGCAGACCCCACCCGCACTTCAAAAAGGAAAGGAATGGGGGGTGGGGAGGGCCAACTCAACCCTGCTCCAAAGAGGGCCTTGTAACAAAGCCGACCGGTGCAGCAAGGCGAGGCCCGAGCCCCTGCAAGAGCTCAATTTGAGGGGACGCCACAGGGTGCAGGGACTGGTGGACGAGGTTTGAGCGCCTGGACGAGACATCTAGCACCTACCCGGCCTAAGAGGGAAGCAGGCACTCCTAGGCCAGCCGATGGTCACTTTCTCTCTTTCTTTTTTAACGGGGGTAGTAGTACCGAGATTTTATATGGTCAGAGCGAGCAACAAGGTGAGGGAGTGGGCAGCCGGGATAGACGGGGCTTCCGTCTGTCCCGCGGGCCTACAGCCGGCCCTCTTGGGGTCATAAGAGGAAGGTGTCCGGAATCCCCGCCCTGCAGCACCGCAGCTTTAGGGAAGAGTAGTCAACTCGGCGAAGATAAAGGCCCTTACCGCTTGAAATCCCGCATGAGCCTCCTCCGGGCCGGGGTCGACATACTCCCTTGCTGCCCCGCGGTCAGTCTGAAAGAAAAGAGTCCCGCGCAGCCCCCCCACCCCCCCGGCGCAGCGGCCGAATCACTGTGGGTCACCACCACCGCCTCCGAGACTGCACAAACAACCCTGCAATGACGTCTCCCTCCGCCGCCTCCAGATCCCTCCGCCCTCCGCCGCTACCACCGAGCGAGGAGTGGGGGGGAAGGGGGCGGGACGTGTGAGCGCCTGCTCAGGAGTCTTTAGGCAAGGACGGGCTCCATGTTGGCTTCCTGAACTAGAGGACAAATTGTGCCGTCTGCGTTCAACCTAGAGATTGTGAGCTAAAAGACGCCGAAGCTGAAACACTATCTTTTCTCTCCCCACCCCGGCACTAGTTTAGGTTCGGCGGGATGGGGAGAGGGCGACGCATCCGGACCAGAGATTTCAGGGAAAGGATGTGGGGGGGAATGACGTAAGACCACGTGACTGCTCGCGGCGTTGTCAACAATCCACCCCTGAGGGGGAGGGGGCGAAGTATCTAGAACCACGTGTCCCTATGACGCTAGTAGAACGGGTCACGTGAGAGCGCCGTCTGGATCTGAGTTTCAGACAGGTCTATGAAGCCGGTCTTTGAGTTTACTGGTTGAGGGTGGAAAACACCTTTATTAGTTATTCTCCCTGTTTGGCCCCAAGTACAGGCACATCGTGGAAGTGGTCGCTGCGGAAGCTATAGTTTGTTTTTATTTTTAGGTCCTTAAAACGGAACCAAAAGTAATTTGGACTTGTGGCTTTTCAACTATTCTTCCTTGTGTGTGGGAAATGACTGAAAGGCTTGTACAACCTAGTAACTGCAGCACTGAATGCTGAAGCCCAAATTCCCTGAAATGTTTTCTTAGGGTCACCAAATAACCTGTGCCTGCATTGTGGTGGGGCTTCAGGGGTTAGAGACAGTATATAGGTTAATCAAGTCTTGTTCAAAGACTCCACAGAATTAGGGAATTTTGTTTTCCTTTAGGGTCTGCTTTCGTTTGAAAATAATGTGTCAAGAGTACGTGGATTTGCCTACAGTAGGGTACCACTGTATTTGTCAAAAAATATGGGAGTATGATCTGGAGAACAATCAACAGGCAGTTGGTTGTCAAAAAAACCTACAAAAATGACTCAGATCTGGGGGAAGAGATTGTGAAGACATGGGTGAGGGTTTTATATATATAGCCTGAGATAACTCATTTCAGGCTTTCTACAGTAGTATGTAAGGTTCAAATGGGCAGCACTAGGGGTGTGTTGACCGTGCACAACTCCTTCACTGAATTCCCACCCTCCACAGCTTACAATTCCTGCTATGAGGAGTTTGTTGCTCAGGTGGACTCTGAGCACTTTTCTTTCTGGTGTATTTGGGGACTCCTTCACGACCTAGAAGGAAAGGGAGGATGGACCGAGGACCTTAACATTGTCTCACTCTTGCCCATAGTGCCATGAAACATAAAAGGTTAACTTTTCACACTTTTCTGATACCTCTCTTCTTCGATGAATTCTATCTGTTGCTTTAAAACTCGATAGGTACCGCTGTGCCTTCACAATGTGATTAACTCAAAAAGTGAATATTCTTACCATTACTGTTTTTTTTTTTTTTTTTTTTGGTGGCGGTGGTGGTGGGGTGATGGTTTGAGATAAGAGTCTTACCATATAACTCTGGTCGGCCCTGAACTTTCTATGTAGCACAGGCTGGTCTAGAACTTGAGATCTTCCTGCCTCCTCCTCCTGAGTGCTTGGGAATATGGGCATGTGCCAAACCATCAAGGTCTTACCTTTACTTTCTTGCCTTCCTGTCATAATCCTCTCTATAGCTAAGGAGAAACACATAGTGGAAGATTACATACAATGAAATGTTAAAGAGAAATGATATTTCTAGAAAAGCCTATTATGTCGTCTATCTAGCAATATATAATTTTTAGAAATGGATCATTTATGATTTTCCAAAATGGAATAACGCTGGGAAATTCAGTGAATGTGCTTCATAAACTCTTGAGAGCAGAATATTAAGAATCACAGGCTGCCCTTGTCACCAGGCTTACCAAAAATCTCTAAGAACAGCCTTAAAGCTATGTATAGTGTAGCAATTCTGTAGCTGTACAGGAGTTCAGTGAGGACAGGGACTGAGTCTGGTTCATGCTTTTCCCTTTGTAAATAGTTAAAACACAACAAATATTAAATATGCTTATAGAGAATCTCAGTGCAGTATAAAATTTACTATGTCATTCTGATTTGTAGATAGAAAAAACCATGACCAGGTATTTCTGCTCATGCTCTTCTGTGTGTCAAGTCTAGCAGCATATGAAGCTTGAGAAGCTTTTTAAATGTCAATTTCTTTACAACTTCAATTAAATCAGGACTTCTGGAAGTGGAGCCTTTTTAAAAGCTCTCTAGGTGAGATTTAAAAAAAAAATTAGGATATATTCGTTGTAGAGGGAGTCTCTAGTGTGACTTTAATGTACTGCAGTAGGACACAGTGGACTAGAATTTATTGAATAATGCCTTTATTCAAAGGAATAGCTAGATTTGGCCTTTGACATTTAACACTCTACAGAGAAAAGAAAGGCCCAACAAAGACAGCACACCCTGGGCACTTGCTCTCGGTTAAAGAACTATTTTAATTCTTTTTTAGGCATGACTGTGGGCTGCTAAGGGCCAACTCAGGTCTATGGGATATTAACGTAGCTAGTTAACTTGGAAAACTGCAGAAATGCAAGGCTTGTTGGGCATCTCGTTCTATAAGTTGCCTAGTTAATGACAATAGTCAACGATGTGAGTCCCACACCACCTGCTGTTTTCCTACTAGGGCAGGGGGAAAGCCTTCCCTCAGTTTCCGTTCCCTAAGGGATTTGCAGTCACTTACGCTGCAGTTGGAGTGTGGACTCTCCTGTTTGGGCCTCCAAACAAACCTTGATGGGCACTCATACTGCCGTCACCTACTACCCTCCCCCAAGGCCAGGACGCTAACATTTAGTGCCCACCTGCAGTTCCGTTTCGTTGCTACTCGCTTTTTCTTCCGGGTCGGACCTCGCGGCTGTTCCGCTCCTGCGTACTGGGGTCGGTGCGCAGCCTCCGCCCCGCCCAGCGTTGCCATGGTAGCCAGCGGCCCAAAGTCGGCTGTGGTGCCCTGGGAAGTAGGTTTGGTGTCTCGAGGCCCGGCCAGGACTGCGCGGGGCCGGGCCTGCGGAGCTGCACAATGGGCTGAGGCGGCGGCGGCGGCGGCAAGGACGGAAGTCGACAGCGGGGCGAGGGCGCGACGCCGGTCCGGGATTCTAGGACTTCGGGTTTGAGGGAGGGTGGGACCGAGGTTTTCGGAGCTCCCCCGGTCGATACGTGGGCGGCCGCAGTACTGCGAGGTGCCTTAGCCACGGGCGCGCGTCCGGAAGCGTGGGGAACCCCGCCTGGAGCGATGGTGGCCTGGAGCGAGGGACGCCCAGTGTTGATGGGGTGACCGAGACAGCAGGGGGACCCGACATTGTGCTGAGGGTCGGAGCCTCTGCAAGACTGCTTGGTGCCACCGTGGCAGAGTCCACAGGCAAAGCAGGCTCGTTGGGCGAGGTTCCTGTTTCCGTGCTTGAAACTAAGGGCTTTGGGGTCTATCCTTATCCAGCTTGAATAAAAAAGGTGTGATCGTTTAACGTTTTCCATTTTCTCTCCTTCTTTCTGTAAAGAACTAGAAGCCGGGCTTGAAAATGGAGATGTATGAAACCCTTGGAAAAGTGGGAGAGGGAAGTTATGGAACAGTCATGAAATGTAAACAAAAGGACACTGGGCAGATAGTGGCCATTAAGATATTCTATGAGAAACCAGAAAAATCTGTCGACAAAATTGCCACGAGAGAAATAAAGTTTCTAAAGGTTTGCTCCTTTTGCCTTAGTTTGTTTGTTGTCTGGTTTTCTTTTTGTTTGGTTTTTTTTTTTTTTTGAGGTAGGATTTCTGTGTACCCCAGGCTGGCCTGGAATTCCCAGCTCCCCATCCTTATAGCTCTGTAAACCGAAAGAAAAATTGTATAAACGTATTTCAGTTAACACGTAGACTCTGGCAGGTAATATTGTCTGCATTTTGTAATTTTATAGTGATACAAGATGTATGTGCTAGTGTATAATGTTACAGAATTATGTCAATATTGGTAAGTCATTCAGGTATATTCAAATATAATGCTTAATACAGATGTATGCTTTGTGCAAGGTATTGTGCTAGATGCTGAGACTATGAAAGAACTTTTATAATTTAAGCAGAAAGACAGAAAGGTATATAGCATAATACTGAATAAAAAGTGGCTAACAAATGCCAAAATATTTAACACAAAAGTCCTATTGGGCAGGGGAGTTTTCATGGAGGAAATGAGAGATGAATTTGGCTTTAAAGGATGTGTATGATTTGGGTAAGAGGGAGAAACTATTGAGTTCCAGGTTAGGAGAAGACCATAAGCTCAAAAAGGCTAAAGCAGGACAAAAGGCAAGAATGGAAAGGAAAAAGAACAAAGAAATTTGCACAGAGAGTTTTTTGAACAGGATTTAAAAGGAGTTGAGATTAGTGCTGTAAATTGGAAATAATCTTTTAGGCTAAGGAGTCAAAAAGTGTTTTTGTAAGAGGTAGAAAGTGAAGACTTTCTTAGTTCAGTTTAAAGAAACTAATAATCTAGCATCATGTGTATAATAGACTGTGAAAGTAAAATACCTGCTATGAGTTTAATTCAGGAATACTTGTAAATAATTTACACGCCCTTTTCAGAATGCAGCAGTGTGAAGGAAGTAAAGTTAACATGATACATTGCAAAATTAGACATGAAAGAATGTAGAAGCGTCTAGAAAGGCATGCGTTAGGAGTATCTTTGAAGTTCAGTGACTGCGGCAATTGATGGAAATTTGAAAGACTCAAAAAGAGACATCATTGGGAACTAGTTCAGTTTTGGAAATGTTGACTTTGAGATGACAGGAGCATTTACGTAAAGATGACCCACTATCCTGGTGCCAGTGGCTCACACCTCTAATCCTAGGTGCTTGGGAGGCTGAGATTGGGAAGATTGCAGTTTTGAGACCAAATCTGTGCAAATTATTTGTAAGACCCCTTTTCCAAAATAACTAGAGCAAAATGGGCTGGAGGTGTGACTCAAGTATTAGAGTGCTGGCTTTACAGGCATGAAGCCTGAGTTCCAACCCCAGTCCCACCCCTCACACACAAACCCCCCCAAAAAAACAAAAAAACCCCTACATTTCAAAGTACACCTCTGGAGACTTGCTTACCTGCACGGCTATATTTTTCTTTTGTTTTGAGGGTTTTGCTAGGCAGCCCAGGCTGCTTCAGCCTCCAGAGTGCTGGGGTTACATCTAATGTGCCACCACTCTTGGTAAGACTGCTCTTCATATAAATGATTAAAAAGTTGCCCTTTCAGAAGTCCTGAAGTTCCTTAATTACAGTCTACTCAAATTGTGAAAGAAAAATTCAGCCCACATGCCATTTGTATCTTTTATTTCATTAGGCAAATTACAGTGATAAATGATGTAATGTATTTTTAATACAATGAATGTTGTAGTGATATATTCTTGTAGAAAGTAATTTACTCTGCAAGTCTGAAGCTCTGAGTTCAAACCCCAGTTCCACCCCCCTCCCTACCCCCTCCTTACCCCCCCCAAAACCTCATACACACAAAACCTGCTAGACTTTAGGGAACAATACCAGAAAAGATCAGGGCAGTGTAGGTATGACAGGTCAGTTTAGGGGCAAGGACTCAGGAGTGTGGAGAAAGGAGTATTAACTTTCTTGGGGATTAGATATAAAACCAGTGACTGAAAAAATACTTCAATATATGTATATTCTGTGTCTCTAGATGCTCTTAAGGTTTAAGGTTTATGGTCTTAACAGTATAGTCTAGATATTTTATGTGTGATGGGAAAAACATGTGCCCTTCTTGCTTATTTTTACCTGATACAAAAGTAGTATATTCTTTCTTTGTAAATGTAAGCAGAGGCAATGTATTAGGCATCCAGATTGTTGGAACTGCTTTATTTCTAGACAATGTAAAAGAAAAAGCCAGTGAAGATGGTATGATTTTGTGAGAGATATCGGTCCTTGCCCTGATACCCTAACATATAATACTGTAAGGCAATTGTGTACCATAAGGAAAAAAATCTGATTAGGAGACCTTTTTGTTGGGCATGGTGGCATATGCCTCTCATACTGGCTACTAGGGAGATGGAGATTGGAAGGATCATGGTTCAAGACCAACCCAGCAAAAAAGTTAGCAAGACCCCATCTCATCTAACAAGCCAGACGTGGTACTTGCACCTGTAATCCAAGCTTCACATGAGGCAGAGGTAGGGGGATGACAATCTGAGGCTGGCCCCAGGCAAAAATGTGAGACCCTATCTGAAAAATGATTAAGCAGGAAAGGATAGGAGTATGTGACTCAAGTGGTAGATCACCTGCCTAGTAAATACAAGGTCCCGAGTTCAAAACCTCTGTACCACCCCCCCCCCAAAAAAAGATGACTTTCCCCAGGCATTATCTCTTCCTCTTTTCTTTAACTCTATTGTAGTTGCTTATTTTTTTTCTATGTAATCATTTTGTAAAATAACCAATATGTGGCAAGAACAGAGAAAAACTTGAAAATGTTTTTTGCCGTTATAAGTATTAGGCAAAATGTTTTAAGACACTCTGGAGGCTGGCTTCAAATTTATGGTCTTCCTGCCTCTGCCTACTGGGATTATAGGTATGTATCATCACAGCTGGCCTTCATGGGCTCTTTAATTTGATATAATTTAATTCTGCCAAGAGATTTCTTAGGTTAGTTAACATTCTTAATCTAAAAAGATCATCGTAATGGCTCAATTTGAACTAAATTTTTATGTTATTTCAATAAATAAATTACATATAATTAATAAAAATATCTGTAGAAATCTTGTGTAGTGATAGAGAAAAATAAACAACTTGAAAATGGAGCATTTCTAGGGGTTTCGTGGTTTATCTGAGAAAACACCTGATTCTCTACTCCTTGGTGAATCTTCCCTAATGTGTATTTAGCTCACATCAACCCTTCACTGCTTGCTTTTGCCTTTAAAATAAAGACAAAACAGGATGCCAGTAATTTGCCTTAGGTGGAGGATTGATACTTGAGTGTCCAAAAGCAGTCAGTTCTTTTTACTGCTGCCAGTATTTTATTGCTGCTGCACTGTGCCATCTGGCCAAACAGAGAAACTGGGAGCAAAAATAAGAAAGGAATCTGGCATTATATTTTGGCATGTTTTCTTATTAGTCATGTTCCAAGGACTTTAGCCTCTGTATTAGTCACAGAGAGGAAGAAAAATTGACACTGTGTCTTTAGAATAAACGCAAAAAATTTTTTTTATGAAAGTAGTTTTCTAATGAATCCAATACCAAAAATATATCCCTTAGTTTTTAGCTAAATGAATAAATATTTTTTGGTAGTTTGAAAAAAATGGCTAGACATTTCAGAATTGATTGTAGTAAGGTCAAAGTGTTGAAAAAATAAGCAACATAAAATATTAAACCTCATTTGTTTCCTAAGCTGATACATGGCCATTTTTGACTTTTAAAGATTATTTTTACCAAAATTGTTATCAGTGCAAAAGACTTTTTTTCCCCTTTTTTTAGTTTTTGGTTTTTTGAGTTTTTTTTGAGATGGGGTCTCTTTCTCTGCAGCTGCTGCTATTGAGGCTAGCATCAAACTCTTCATCCTCTTACCTCACCTCCCTGGTGGCTAGGATAAAAAGGATAAAAAGTGTTTTGTTGTTTGGTAGAATAGTACAGATAGTGAGTAAACATTGCCAAAAATAATTGCTTCCTTATGTAGAGTTTCTGTAACTTTAGTTTGGTATTGTACATATTTGGAAGGTTTTCCACGTATTCTGATACTCTTTTGTTACAGTCTGATGAAATTATTATGTCCCTTAGAATTTAGTTTTCTCTCTAGCATTTAGGAACAAAATTAGAGAACAATTGATTTTTGTATAAACTCAGATCATATACTTAATGTTGTTGAAATTCATGCTCATTTGAAAGCATAAGGACTTTAGTGACTAGAGGTATGGTTTAACATGTGGAATGCTCTGAATTCAATCTCCAGTAGAAAACAAAAAACCCAACTACAACCCAACGACTACTGCAGAGGTTGAGGCAGGAGGATGGAGAGTTCCAGGCCAGTCTGGGATATAGTAAGACCCTGACTCAAAAAAAACAAAACAAGGACGACAACCAGAAAATCTTTTAAAACCTCAAGCCAAGTTAAAAGATAACAAGATATTTCTCAGCAGCATACCAAGTTGCATCATAGTAACTTAACTCTGAATTTTTTTTTTTTTTTAATGAGACAGGGTCTCACTATGTGACCCAAGCTGGCATAGAATGAGACCTTCCTGCCTCAGCCTCCCTAGTGTCTAAATTACAAACAATCAAATGCCAACTTGAGATAAAGCAATACATTTCTCTTCTTAAATACTGATAATGAGATGATGGCTTATAATTTTTTTAAAAAAGGAATGTAAACAAATCAGTTGAGAAATTTCTATTGAAATGCATAGAGGAAAAGAAGCCAAGAATAATATTTCAGTTTCCTTTTAAAAGTATACAGGATGTTATGTGTGCAAATTACAGTTTGAACTTATTAAAACTCTGTTTCTTTTGTCAATAGCAATTTCGTCATGAAAACCTGGTCAATCTTATTGAAGTTTTTAAACAAAAAAAGAAAATTCATTTGGTATTTGAATTTATTGACCACACGATATTAGATGAGTTACAACATTACTGTCATGGACTAGAAAGTAAACGACTTAGAAAATACCTCTTCCAGATCCTTCGAGCAATTGAATATCTTCACAATAATAATGTAAGTGCTTCAGAATAAGCCAAACTAGGATAAATATGAATTGTAAGTGCCATTTAAAAATTGTTTTATTTATATGAAAATCATTTTTCTGTATAATTCTGATAGATATCCTGAAAATGGGTATGGAGGATTACTCCCTTATAATTTAGTTGCAGAACCAAAAACCATTTGAGTACATAATTGTTAACTAAGGCAGTATCAATAATCTGGTTTAGAAAAATCAATAGTCAACTGAGAAAGTACATTAAAATGTTGAAAGTTGGGGCCAACTCTTTAATAGAGACTTGCTTAAATGAAGGGAGGTTTGGAGATAGGAACTGGGTATTAGGCCAGGTGAGTAGCAAGTCCTTATGGTAGCTTTAAGGGAACAAAGGAGTGGGCTGGGGGCATGCCTCCAGTGGGAGTGCCAGGTCAAGTCCTTAAGTTCAAACCCCAGTACTGTCAAATAAATAAAGAACAAACGAGAAACAAAGTGGTTGGGATATGTAGGGCCTTGTCACTTAGCCTGTGAAAAATAAAGAGAAAAGATCAACTATTCTGACTTAGTGTTGAATTTAGTAGTAAGTGTTTAGCTCACCAGTTTTTTATGGAACTTTGTTCTCAACATGAGACTACGTTCTGGAAAATTACATATATATTCAGAAAATAGCAGTTAATGATGTATTCAGGAAATAACAGTAAAAGCCTCAAAAATAGTTTTATTAAGTAGATGATACAGGCACAACAACTACATATCCCAGCCTTTTTCCCATTTTGTGGTTTTGAAAAATATGGTTGTGGCAACAACTGGAATTCAGATTGTAACTCCCTGGCCAGCTGAATCCAAGGCATATAATATGATAGCTAAGCACATGTAGTTTTTGGAGTCAGACTCTCCTGTGTTTTCACCTCTGAGTTATCTATGAAAGAAAACCCAAACAACTTGTGTAACCAAAAGTGACAGCCTCATGACTCTGTGACCTTGGGAAAGTTATCTAACCTCTTTGAGCTTCACTTTCTTTGCCTTACCTCACAGGTACTTTATCCTACCTCACAGATTTTTTTAAAACATCAAATTAGGGAAAAGATGTAAAGTGTTGAGCACTATGTCAGGCACATTTTGAGTACTTAATACTTAGCGCTGATAGGGAGTCTGGAGCAGTTGTATTTCTTTGTATCTGCATAGTACGTGTTTGTAGTAGACCCTAAAAATGTTTCTTGAATAGAGAGACATATCAGTATGGGCTAAACAGAGTAGAATACTTCAAGAATGAGGTAAAAACCAAAGTAAGTAGAATTTGAACTGTAACTTGGATTTCATTAGAGAAGAAGAGGAAATACATTTAGCTGGAGTCACTATGAGTCTCTGGAGTTCAGAGAGCAGTGACAAATCAGCTTACAGAGAACAGGAAGAGGGAGGTGTGATTGCATTGGTGGTCTGAGGAGAGGTTTTCCAGAGCCAAGAAATCAATCCTTGACACCCATCCAAAAAGTTTGGACTTTTTCCTGGGGACACCAGGAAACTATTGGAGATTTTTGAGCTTTGTTTGGACAGGATAAAAACAAAACCTAAACTTACTTTGGCAAGAGTAGAAGAGGGGCAGGATGTATGGCTCAGGTGGCAAAGAGCCTGCCTAGCCAGCAGGAGGCTCAGAGTTCAAAGCCCAGTATCATCAAGGGAAAAAAAAAGAACAGAGGATAAGAATAAGTAGGTAGCCAGGCATCAGTGTCTTACACCTGTAATCCTAGCTACTTGGGAGGCTGAGATCAGGAGGGTCATGATTGAAGACCAGTGTAAGCAAACAGTTTACCACATCCCATCTCCAAAGTAAACTAGAGCAAAATGGATTAGAGGTGTGGCTCAAGTGGTAGAGCACCTGCTTTGTAAGTGCAAAGCCCAGAGTTCAAACTCCAGTTCCCCCCCTCCAACTCCCCCTTACCAAAAAAAAATAATAATAATAATAATAGGTAGATCTCACCAGAGAGATCAAGTAAGATACTATCATGACAGTTAGAGGTAAGGCCCTAAGAGCTTGGACTTGGATGGTAGCAATGGGAAGAAGAAGGAAAGATTTCAAAAAGGAAGTGACAGGATTTGAGAATTAATTAGATATGAGAGGGATGAACACAAAAGGTGAAGTCAGTGATAAAAACAAGACTTTTGAGAGCAAGAGAATTATAGTGCCGTAGACAGTAACTGACTTTAGAAGGGAAAATGACTTTTAGATATATTAATGTATTTTAAGGGACACTGAGAATTTCTAAGTAAAAATAGTGATTTGGTAATTATATCATGGATTTAGAAAGTAGTCAAACTGGTTATAAGATTTTGAGAATTTCCATCTTAGACACTGCCCTTTACCTCACAGAATCCTCTTGTCTTCAACCTCTGGAGTGCTGGGATTATAGTTATGTACTACCATGCCCAGCTTCTGATTGTTTTGTAATTTAAGAATTGAGTGCTGGGTATGTGTAGTTCAGTGATAAAGTACTTGCCTAGTATGCTTAAGGTGGATTTGATACCCAGAACTGCCAAAAAAAAACCTTGAACTGGTTTAGCATGCCTCTTCGAAACCATTTGGGAGCTGGGAGTTTAGCTCTGTGGTTGTTTTGTAATTTAAGAATTGAGTGCTGGGTATGTGTAGTTCAGTGATAAAGTACTTGCCTAGTATGCTTAAGGTGGATTTGATACCCAGAACTGCCAAAAAAAAAACCTTGAACTGGTTTAGCATGCCTCTTCGAAACCATTTGGGAGCTGGGAGTTTAGCTCTGTGGTAAAATGCTCACTTAGTATATGTGAAGCCCTGGGTTCAATCCCTAGCATGAAAAATCCCAAGCAAACCATTTTGGAAGCAGTCAGAATATAAGTGCAAATATTTGGCTACTTATGAGGGAAGAAATACTTATTTTTACTTCATTGATTCACCAAGTATGTGTTGAGCATCTGTCAGTGACAAATACTGATTTTTACTGCAACCTTGAGTAAAAGCCTTGGCTCCTATCTTTATAGGACTTGTTAGAGTTTACCCAATTTTTGGTAAATGTTATGAATTATGAGTAATTCTGATTAATAACTAAAGATTGTCAGCTTCCCTAGCTTCAACTCCTACCCTTACTCCACAAAACCCTATTTCCTTAAATTTAGGCCACTTTTACATACATTCTTAACTCTGCTTTTGGATTTTAAACTCCTGTTCTTCCGAACAAGGGGTTATTATTATTTAGATATTTAAAAGTTTAATATTTTGCTGTATTCATCTATTTTGTTTTCTAAAGTAAGTTAAAGTACGTGACAGGCAACCTGACATTTTATCTCCAAATGTATCTCTATTTTTTTTTTTTCATTTTTCTTTTATTATTCATATGTGCATACAAGGCTTGGTTCATTTCTCCCCCCTGCCCCCACCCCCTCCCTTACCACCCACTCCACCCCCTTCCGCTCCCCCCCCCAATACCCAGCAGAAACTATTTTTTTTTTTTTTTTTTCAAAAGAGAGTCTTGCTGTATATACCAGACTTGGCCCAAACTCATTCCTTCACAGCCCTCTGAGTGCCAGGATTATAAGAATGCACCACCGTACCCTATTCATTATAAATCTCTCAAAAAGGACATTTCTTACATAAGCTCAAAATGAATATTGCATCTTCAAATTAACAGTAGTTCCTTAATATCATCTAATTCCTAATTTATATTAAAATGTACCCAGTGGGTCCTAAAATGTCTTTTCCAGCTGTTCAGTAAAATAGGATACAGTCAAGAAGTGAACTTCTTTGCTTATTTGGTTTTTAAGGCAAATAGTAAATTTGTAGTCTTGCAGCCTATCTCAGACATTATTATTCAGCTAATTTTTCCAAGGAATAATACATACATGACCATTTAGTTGTACAACATTAGATAGGAAAACCAGTTAAACTAAAACAGTATTAGATTTAAAACTCAGGCTCTTTGAAACTGTTGTAAGTTGTAGGGGTTTGAACTTTCTTCCTTTTTTTTGGCAGTACTGGGGTTTGAACTCAAGGTCTTACACTTGCTAGGCAGGCATTCTACCACTTGAGCCACTCCATCAACCTGTCCTTATTTTTTTAAACAGGAAAAAAGCACACAAAAATTTTATTACATGACTAAGGCACAGGAGTATTAGACTCCTTGACTCTTTGGTGGGCATTTAAATTCAAGCGTATAAGGCTATATAAAACAGAGGTGTTATAAATCAGATTGTAATATGGAGTTCTATGAAGTCCTGGAAAGCATTCAGCTACAAAATAAAGGAGAATCAAAATCATTGTTTAAATTCAAAGATTGGTAAGTCACATCATATCCAAAAATTGACTCAAAATGAATGAAAGACCTAAATATAAGAGCTAAACCTATAAAACTCACAGAAGAAAACAGGTGAAAATCAGTGTGATCATGCATTGGGCAATTATTTTGTAGATACGACGCCAAGAGCAAAAGCAATAAAGAAAAAGGAGAAAAGACCGAGAGTGGTAGCTCAAGCCTGTAATCCTACTTGGGAGGCAGAGATCGGGAGGATACCTGTTCCAGGCTAGCCCAAGCAAAAAGTTAGGCCCTATATCAACCAATGGGTGGGCTCAATGGTGCACTTGATTGTTGGAGAAGTATAAATTAAAACCACAATGAGGTATCACCTCATACCTGTTTTAGAATGGCTATTGTCAAAAGGTGAAAACTGAGAATTAGAAAGGATATAGAAAAAAAGGGAACTTTTGCATGCTGTTGGTAAGAATGTAAGTACAGACATTGTGGAAAACAGTATGGGGGTTCCTCAAAAAAATTAAAAATTAAATTTCTATATGATCCAGGTGCTCCCCTACTGTATATATATCCAAAGGATATGAAATAAGTATGTCAAAGAGATGTCTGAATGCTCATGTTCACTGCAGCACCATTCACAATAGCCAAAATAATGGAGTTAGTCTAAGTATATATTAGTGGATGAATGAATATAGGAAATATGATATTTGTACATACTATACAGCCTTTAAAAAGAGAAATGCTATCATTTGTAACAACATAGATGAGCATTGTGGACATTATGTTAAGTGAAATAAGCTAGGCACAGGACAAACATCACTCTAGTTTACATGTGGAATCTATAAAAGTGGAACTCCTAGAAGTAGACCGTGGAATAGTGGTTACCATGGACCTGAAGAGTGGGTTTTGTTGGGAAGATGTTGGTCTAAAAGATAGAAAATTTCAAATCAAAATAAATTTTAGAGATTTTTGTATAATATGGTAACTATAGTTATTTATGTTATTGAAAATTGCTGAATATAGATTTTAAGTATTCATACTACAAAATAATATTAATACATATGTTAATTAGCTTGACTTGGTCATTCCACAGTGTATTTATGTTTCAAAACAACATGTACCATGATATATATGTACAATTTTTGTCAATTTAAATAAATTTTTTTTTTAAAGATGAGATTGAGATAGAGCAGCCAGTAGGTTGGGTGAAGCCCAAGATAGTAACCAAGTGACAAAAATAGTTGACAGAGAGACAGAGAGGGAGAAGGAGGGAGGAAGGGAAGGAGAGACAGAGAGAATGAGATTATCTAGGAACTCTGCATTTAAGGGACAAGACAGAGAAAGAGGGACTGCCAGGGAGATAGGAGACAGAAAATTTAAGGTCCCAGAAATCACAAATGTTGTGACACTTAAGTAATCAATTAAGGTATGGATTGAGAGGTGTGTATTAGATGTAGCAACAATGTTGAAGACTTTGTCTAGGGAAATTTAGTGCAATATGGGAACAGAAGACAGATTATATTATCTCAAGTGAATAATTGTTCAGAGTGAAGGCTGAGTAGAGAGGATGTCTTCAGGAGGTTTACCTGTGAAGGAAATGAGAGAAAGGACACTAACTGGTTTGGAACATTGGGTTGAAAGAAAGTTGGATTTTTCACCAAGTTCTTTTGATCTTCTTTATAGGAATGTGATTTACCTTTTCAATATTATATCTGCCTTAACTTCATTTCATTTTGAAGTGATGGATGGGGCAAGAATTAGAAATATGTAGCTATTTTTACATGTGGTAAGGAAATAGCTTCCTTATCTTAATTAGCTAGATTGTCTCTATAATTTTTGAGAGATCCTGTAGAAAATGAAACCTCATTTTAATATATTTCATCTTCTGTTTGCTTTTTAGATTATTCATCGAGACATAAAACCTGAGAATATTTTAGTATCCCAGTCAGGAATTACTAAGCTCTGTGATTTTGGTTTTGCACGAACACTAGCAGCTCCTGGGGACATTTATACAGACTATGTGGCCACACGCTGGTATAGAGCTCCAGAACTAGTGTTAAAAGATACTTCTTATGGAAAGTATGTATATTTTGGGGACCTGCCTTGCCTTTCCCACGCATCTCTTTTTTCCCTACTTTTGACACTCTCTGCCCTGTGTTTGGGTTGGGGCTAAGAAGTAAAACATCTCTAAAAGTAACTGACAGACCCTTTAGGCCCCTGTATCACTGGCTGCTGTTGTGATGTTTATGATCTAAAGTCAAATAGTTGCAGCCCCAGGAGACCTGTGTGGTTGTCCTTAGGTTGTGTCCATGCTCGCTTTAACTGTGCCACACCTTTGGCAGCACTGCCTGTTTATCATTAGCCTCTACAGTCTGCAAAGATTTAAAAGTCATTTACTTCACTCTGCCAGTGTTATAAGAGAATCTGCCAAGTTTCTTGTTTCCTGGGAAAATGGCACCCTCTTTACAAAGACTGGCAAGTAATAATTTTTAAATTGTGTTGTAGATGCCTCAAAAAGGAACATGGTTTCAGTTGCATGTTAAATAGCCATCCAAAATACAAATAATCAGTGTTGAAGAGTAGAAAAGGACAAAGGTGCACAATTTAATACTTTATTTAATAGAAATGGGGGAATAATTCTTGTATACTTTTCCTGGAAACTATTCTGCTATAGCAGTGTCTGATATTAATGAGTACTTATTAATGAGTTCTCTGCCAGAACTTGTCCTAAAAACTTTACTTGCATTAAATCATTTAATCTTCAAAACAATCCTGTGATGAAGGTGCTACTATTATCTTTCCCTATTTATTTATTTGTTTGTTTTTTTACTTATTTATGCAGTGCTGGGGATTGACTCCAGGAACGTGCATGTGCTAGGCAAGTGCTGTACCACCAAGCAACATCCCCCAGTCAAAACTTCATTCCTTTTAATGGCCAGTTATATTCCATTAACACATTTTGTTTATCCATCTGTCCATTAATGGACTTTTTACTGCTTTATGGCTATTAGGAATAGTGCTGTTATAAATATTTACACTCTAGTGTATGTGTAAACATGTTTTCATTTTTCTTAGGCATATATCTAGTAATGAAATTTCAGGTTTATATGGTAAAACTCTAGTTACTAGTTTTTAAAAAATTTTACGAGTGGGGCTGGAAGCCTGGCTTACTTATATTAATTATATAAAGTAATGGGTTTCATTGTGGCAATTTCATATATGCATATAATGTACTTTGATTGGATTCACTCTCTTCCTACTTCCCTTTATTCCTTTGCATATTTCTAATAGTGCCCTTTTATTTTCATGTCTTTTTTTTTCTTTTAAAAAAAATTCCTTATATGAGAGAAAGCATGTAATCTTTTCTGAGTCTAGCTTATTTTGCCCAACATGATGATCTCCAGTTCCATCCATTTTCCTGCAAATGACAAAATTTCATTACTCTTTGTGGCTGAATAAAACTCTCTTGTTGTGTATATATGCCACATTCATCTGTTGATGGGCACCTACGCTGATTCCATATTTTTCCTGTTGCAAATAATGCTGTAATAAGCATGGGTTTACAGGTATCTCTATTGAAAGCTGACTTTGATTCCTTCAGATATATACCCAGGAATAGTATATAACTGGATCATAGGAAATTCTCTTTTTAATTTTTTGAGGAAACCATACAGGTTTCTATAATGATGGAAATAATTTGCATTCCTACCAACAGTGTCTAAGAGTTCCTCCCTCCTTCCCCCCATACTCACCAGCATTTGCAGTATTTTTGGTTTTTTTCTTTCTTTTTTTTGTGCTACTGGGGCTTGAACTCTGGGCCTATGCCATGAGCTGCCAGTGCCGGCTAGTATTTTTGTTTTCTTTTGACAGCCATTCCATTTGGGATAAGATAGAATCTCAGTGTCATTTTCACTTGCATTTTCCTGATGGCTAAAGATATTGAACATTTTTTCATGTATTTATTGGACATTGTGTTTCTTTATTTGAAAAGTGACTGTTAGTTCAATTGCCCACTTATTGATTGGATTATTTGTTCTTTTGGTTTTAATTTTTTTAATTCTTTACATATTCCAGATATTAATTACCTGTCAGATGAATAACTGGCAAAGATTTTCTCCCATTCCGTAGGCTGTCTCTTCACTCTGATAATTGTTTCCTTTGCTGTGCAGAATATTTTCAATTTGATGTATATTTTTTTTTAAATTAATTTTTGGTTTTGGCAGAACTGGGGTTTTGAGCTCAGGGCCTCACACTTGCTAGGCAGGCACTGTACCACTTGAGCCATGCTGCAGTCTGCCTATATGTTGAAGTGTTTTTCTTCAAAGTTTCATGTTTTACAATTAAGAACTTTGATCTATTTTGAATTGACTTTTGTACAGGGTGAGAGATTGGGATGTAGTTTCAGTTTTCTACATGTGGCTATCCGGTTTTCCCAGCACCTCTTGTTAAAGAAAAGACTGTCTTTTCTCCAATATATGTTTTTGGCAACTTTGTGGAAAATCAGGAAGCTGTCGCTGCATAGGCTTATTTCTGGATCTTCTGTTCTTTTCCATTGTTCCATGTGTCTATTTTTGTACCAGTATTGTGGCTCTTTGGTATTACTTGAAGTCAGAAATTGTGATCCCTCCAGCTTTGCTCTTTTTAAGAGCTCATGATTGCTTTGGCTGTTGGGGGTCTTTTGTATTTCCAGTTAGTTTTAGGATTTTTTGTATTTTTTTAAAGTTTTTATTCTTTTTAAAATTTTTTTGTGGTTTGAACTCCGGATCTTGTGTTTACTAGGCAGGTGCTCTGATACTTGAGCCACATCCCCTGACCTCTTTTTTAATTAAATTTTTAAAATTTTAATTAAAAAATTTTTTTTGGGTGCGACTGGGTTTTGAACTCCGGGCTTTGCACTTGCAAAGCAAGATCAGTACTGCTTGAGCCACACTTCCAGCCCATTTTGCTCTGGTTATTTTTGAAAATGCAGTCTCATGAACTATTTGCTTAGGCTGGCCACAAACATTGATCCTCCCAAGGAGGTAGGATTATAAGCGTGAGCTGCCAGTGCCTGGCTGCTTTACTTATTTTTCGTGAAGGGTCTCATTTTTGCTCAAGGCTAGCCTCAGACTGCAATCCTCCTACCTATGGTCTCTCATGTAGTTGAGATCACAGGTGTGCACCACCATGCCCAGCTTAATTTATTGAAATGGGGCCTCACTAACTTTGCCTGAGCTGGCTTCAAATCATGATCCTCCCAATCTTAACCTCCCAAGTAGTAGGGATTACAGATGTGAGCCACCCCTCCAGCCTTGTTTTTTCTATTTCTGAGAATAAGGTCCTGAGAATTTTGATGGGGGTAAGTTGAATCTACACATCACTAACAATAATATGGCTATTTTAACTATTAATTCTGCTGACCCATGAACATAGGAGGTCTTTCCATCTTCTAGTGTCTTCAGTGTTTTACAGTTTTCATTGTAGAGGTCTTTCACCTCTTTGGTTAGGTTAATTTCTAGGGCTTTTTTTTTTTTTAAGCTATTGTGAATGGGATTGTTTTCCTGTTATCTTTTTCAGCAAGTTTGTTGGTGTAAAGAAAAGATACTTTGTGCCAGGCACCAGTGGCTCACTCCTGTAATCCTAGCTACTCAGGAGGCAGAGATCAGGAAGATCACAGTTTGAAGCCAGCTTGGGCAAATAGTTCCCTATCTTGAAAAAAATCCTTCACAATGGATTTAGCTGATGGAGTGGCTAAAGGTGTAGGCCCTGAGTTCAAGCCCTAGTACTACAAAAAGAAAAGCTACTTTGAGAAAGTGTTTAACAGATCTAAGAGTCTTCTGGTGTAGTCATTAGGATCTTTTAAAGATAGTTTTGAACCTTCTTCAAACGGGTCATTTGACTTTTTCCTTTCCTATTGCTATCCCTCTTATTTCTTTGTCTTGCTTTTTGCTCTAAAATTTCAATCACAGTATTGAATAAGGTGAGAGTGGACACCCTTGTCCTGGCTTCGGAGGAAACGCTTTCAGTTTTTCTCTATTCAGTGACATTTGGTACCTTTTATTATGTTGAGGTGTGATTCTTCTATTCCTAGTTTTTTCAGGACTTTTATTGTTAGGGATATTGAATTTTGTCTAATGCCTTTTCTATATCTGCTGAAATGACTGTGTGATTTTTGACCCTGGCTCTGTTTATGTGCTGTTTTATATTGTTGATTTGCATATGATGAACAATCCTTGCATTTGTGGAATGAAACCAACCTGATCCTGATGTATTATCTTTTTAATGTGTTGTTGAATTTGTACTTCTTTTTGCAGTACTGGGGTTTGAACTCAGGGCCTTCACCTTGAGTTTTTCCACCAGCCCTTTTTGTGAAAGGTTTTTTTTGAGATAGGGTCTCATGAACTGTTTGTCCGGACTGGTTTCGAACCGCAGTCCTTCTGATCTCTGCCTCCTGAGTAGCTAGGATTACAGGCATGAGCCACTGGCACCTGGCTTGAATTTAGATATTTTTGCAAGTATTTTATTAAGGAGTTTTGCAACTATGTTCATCAAAAATATTGGCTTATGGTTTTGTTTTTTTTTTTCTTGTGATCTCCTTATCTGGTTTTGGTATCAGGAAAAACTGGCTTCCTAGAATGGAGTTTCCTCTCTATCTTACAAATAGTTTGAGAAGCCTTGGTGTTAGTTCTTTAAAGGTCTGGACTGCCTGATTGAATGCCCCCCCACCACCACATACTGCAGGGGCACTTGTGGGTACAGGAAATCTCCAAGCAGCAGTTGCACTGCCATCAGATGTTTCTGGAGCTGTGAGAGTGATGGAACCAAATAAATCTGCTCTGGGGTTATGAGATGCAGACACCGAGTGATCCTGGCCACTCTAGTCTCTGCTCCAGCCCTCACTCATAGCCACACAGCTGCTCTTTGCTTCTATTCCCAGAGGTCGTGCTGCCTTCCCAAATGGAAGCACCCTCCACATCCATTTGCAGTGGAACCTCCCTTCCTAGAGTCTGCATCCAAGTTGCAGTAGTCTGCCAGTTCAAGCTAGGAAGTGCAGGGGCCCCTTCTGCAAAGCCTGCTTGCTGAACTATCATAGGTCTCAC